GACAGGTGTGTGAGGTGGAGGTTACTCTGGGAGGCCATAAGCTTTCCTTGATCACAGTCCAGCGTCTGAGGTCGATCGATTAACATTTTCTACTGTTAAAATCGCCAAAGTTATACATTTCTATTGACTTAAAACCATGCTTGATATTATTGTCGTTGTTAATCACGCAATCTAAAGAAGATTTTACTGAGATTGCATGTAACCGGTAAACAAAAAGGGACCCATCCTGGAAAGATATGACCTGCCTGTTTGACCCTTGCTATAAGCAATGATGATAATAGGAAAATGTGTGATTTACCTATTCTGTTAATTGATCAACCGGGAATTGTTTGTATAAATTTCGTGATGTTGCATCTGCACATCATCGACTCAGGGGAGATATCTGTTCATGCGCAAAACCATTTGCTAATTTTATAGGTGTTGGTTAACTCGTTGAAAAGTGTTTCAGTGTCTTATCGAGTTCTTCGGCTGCTGAATTTGATAAGATATAAATGGTTCAGTTAATGTGTCACTAACTCCTCTCCTGTGTGTTTGTGATCGCTGAAGCTTGACTGCTTAATGTATATTATAGGGATTTTTCATTTTTAAACTAATAAAGGTAACTGTGTAGAAGTGAATGTTATTCCATCTTCATTTCTAACTCATTGTCATGTCAGCTGCTATCATGTTCATGATTATCAAACAATAGATTGTGATCAAGGCCTTTGTCTGCTATGCTAACATACCTCGCCAAGGGTAAAATATATGTAAAAAGGACACCTAGGAGAAGGATATTAGTTTACCTCTTCTACAGATACATCTAGCTGTATCGTACCACATTATATATGTATTATGGATTGTCGAAAACTGCAGCAACAATAAGCATAATAAATATGATTATTATATTGAGAAACAAATAAACTGTTCATGGGGGGGTATGGGGATCAATGAAAATCAGGGAGACATAGTAAGTGTATAGTTTCTTATCATTGTTTCCAAAAGCCATAAATTCATATTTATTGCATGCTGTGGAACATCTCTGCTCCTTCAAACATGACTATTTCCCATGATGCATTGTCAGTTTATCTTGAATGATGGAGCTCAAAAGGTCGCCCCCACATTTTCACTGGACCAGCGCACTGGGTAACGTATTATTCACTTTGTTCACAAAAACACCCCAAAACCTTTCATTCTTTATAGCTCTGAATATGAGTTGGCATTCATTAAGGTCCACAGCATGGAACCCCTGTATCAGAGTCCATCCTCTTGGGTTTGAAATGTCCTCCTCGCCTGTTTATTCTTCATCCCTTTTCCACGAACTGAGCCTCAGAATATGAATCTGAGTAATATCTCTCCCTTTCCCAAATCTGAGGCAAAAAAAGTATCCACCCTCCCCCTTCTACACCCTTTTCTTGTTCGACATTGCTGCTTTTTCCACTCCAGTCGACTTTTCTCACAATATCACAGAAGGGGGACACAGGAGGACGGATATTAAAATATGAAATCATAATCTCTCCTTAATACACTTGTTGCTTTTCCCTGGTAACTCAGCCAATATTTTTTTTGCTGGGTGCTTGACTGCTCAGTGAAAAATGGAGTAGATATACCATTACTAAGGACTTGCAAGTTTTGTCGTCGTCTCTGCTGCTTTTAGTGGTTAGTTTTTGTTTTGTTTTTATTTTATTTTATTGCTGTTATTTTCCTTGTAGCAATGTAATTACGAAAAAGGCAAATAAAGTATATGTCTAATCCTGCCTTTAAAGTGGCAGTAAGGTCTGAGTTTTTTTCCCTGGAACATATCGGATAATCTCACACGGATAATCTTCAAGGGTGCTAGCTAGTGTTTCCTACTCTCAATCAGCCTGATTGCTGTGTGGTTGATCTTGTATCTAAGGCGTAAAGATTGCATTCAATTAATTTGGACTTCACAGGCTTCTTCAAAGTCTTCAGCAACTTAATTTGCATGACATGCCTTGCCGTTGCCTTTCCAGATAACTGCAACATTAGTGACATTTTATCAGTTAAAATATTCCAAAAAAAGGAGCCAGATGTAACTCAGAGAAAACTCTTCTAGTTTTATGTGCTAGATTTAAACATACTAGCTAAAAATTAATATTTTTTTTTAAACCCGATCCAATTTATTAAATGTTGAGTATTTCTGCAGTATGTTTAGCTCATAAATGTTTGTACTCAGTACTGATGTATATTGTGACGTATTCATGGAAGAACTAGACGTTGCTCTCTGGCTCTCCCTGATTGCCTTTTCTTCTAAGATTGCTTTTTCGTCCCTAGCATTTTTTTTTGTTAATAAAGTTTTATACAAATCCTAAATTGTAGCCCTAGCAGTTTTCAGTTACTAGTTTTGGAGTTTCAGTCTCTTCTGGCTGGTAGCTCCATTAAGCCACCACTCTGGTAGAGCTTTCTCGGGTCACGTGCAGTGGGTGAGCTGCACAAGGGAGCCGTTTCACATGAAGCAAGGTTTCCAGCATTTTATTAGCTGTGGGATTGGGGTAAATAAGCGTGTAATTGCTACAGATCTTGGGAAAGGACACCGAATTCCAGAGTGTTGTTCGGGGAATGTTCAGCTCTCAGAATTAGCCTGATTAGTGTGTTAAATACCCATCTGTCCACCTGTCCCAGTGGAGAGACGCATGATTATCGTGTGAAGGACAGAGGGCCGCACAACTAGCAGAGGAGAGGAGTCTCTTATTGACTGAATTATTAACCCCTTCCACTAAACAGGACCTTAAATTTTAATGTGTTCTTGTGTGAGCTATTTTAGTTTGTTTAATAAGAGGTAATTAATGATGACTGACTTCAGGTGAAACTTTATGACCTCTAATAAGTCCACCTCTCTTAATCGGATGCCTGAATCTTTTTTCGAAATCTCTAAACTTCTGTATATTGTTGGTTTTTACACATGCACATTTTGACGTGTTTTGGTTTATTGTACGATTGTCTAATGTATTGCTTCTATCTCTTTTATTGCAGCCATGGTGGTGGTGGTCATTCTTCTCCTCATTGCCATTGTGGTTGTGGCAGTTTGGCCAACTAAATAATGTGACCTGGAAGAACAGCTACCCGTGGAGCGATCAGAACTGCTACTATGGCAAAATAGATGTTCACCGGTTCTGACTGGTGAAGAGGCAAGTCCATTATCCAACCACGAAAACCAGACACGCTTAACTCAGGGACTCCATCACATAAAGACCCTACATCCAACTTGACACTTACTAATGCGTAGTCCCTCTGTTGGTTCCTACTGACCCCTAAAATCAAAACAAACTTTATTTGGATGTCAATGCAGAAATATAACACTTTTGATTTCCACACTAAGAGGTCATCTCCTCTTTTCCCACTTCTCCCTGTGGATGATGAGCAAATCGTGGACCTTACTCGAGGAATGATCACCCTTTGCTGGAAGAGGAAATTGGGTACTCGGTCTCCCTGGCAGAGAACGGGTGTACCGTCTGTGTCCGAATGGCTGTAAAGATTTAGTATGCTTGAAAATAACATATATGGTGTGTGTATAAATATCTACAGACTCCGCAGCCCCACGCCCTATTATTTGCAGACCTGCGTGACACAGTTCCCTGAAACCAGCTGTTTGTTTCTCTCTAATGGAAGCTATGTGATTTAAATCATGTTGGCCTTGCATACTGGGGAAATGATTTGAAGCTGTTTGACACATGAAATATGCGCGTCGCTCTCGGTTTCTTGAGCACGGACAGCGACAGCTGCAAATAACGCCTGTATTCTGAAGGCAGGAAGGATTTAGCATTGCTGCTGGTACTTAGATGGTTAACACCTGAAAAGAAATAAATCAATCCATAAGGTGTATATTGTCATTTATTTGCCAAATAAAGTTGATTATTCATGTTACCAGGAAATGCCTCATCCACTGGGAATTTAGATTACATTTTTTGGGCCTCTCATTGAAATGTTCCTCGTTATTGCTATCTTTATGTGTACATGTATTGTTGGGTTTATTCGCTAAACTTGGAATTGCAGTCAACTGACAAAGTAATTGTGATTTTCAATTGAAAATGGTTTATTTGGGATATTCTGGGACGAAGCTTGGAATTTTCTTTGCTGATTGTCCCAGTTGCAGTTTTGGTGAATCAACGCCTAGATTTTGTACTGGAGTCTTTATTTTATAGGTGGTTGTGTAATCATGTTAAATAAAGTGTGTCTGTAAGTAAGCAAAAAACAACAACAGATGGCTGTGCTAATGTATCACCCTCCAGTTTGTACCAACAGTAACGTAGCTTGTAAAAAGGCAAAGGAGTCTGGAATGGGGAAAATGTCTTGTTACTAGATATTTTGGGTGAGACGGTGAGAATGATTGAAATGTCAGGTTTTTTTTCTAACGACAAAACTACTTGAAAGATAGGCAATGGTGAAATACCACTCTCAGCCAACCCTCTGAATAGCATGGCAGTTCTAGAGTTCCAGCGATATTAAAAATATGTATATTTTTTCTTTCAATGACGGGCATTGCGATCAGCCCCACCTTTTCATGCACCATCCAGTGAAATAAATCAAATTTCTTTCCACTTGTTTTACATTAACAGTTTGTTTCTTCCCAGAATCCTTTTCCATAAAATGCCTGAACAGAACAATGAATATTACTATCATATTATTATTTATTTTTTCTTCATATAACTTTTGCCCCAAACCGTTTGTAGATGAGGCTTGTTTCCCAAGGTCCATATTTGAGGAGTTCCATATGGTTCGCACATCGCAGGCCATTTATAAGCATCCGCAGACATTTCTCAACAATCGTCTGCTGACACATATAACACCATGAAATGAAAAACCTGCTCTGCTACAGAATAAAGAAAGGAGGGGTAATAATGTTATAAGAGAAGTGTTTAAAGATGTAGCCAAAATTATAAGCAGGAGGGCATACCGGATACTAAATAAAATAAAGCTCTCTCTATAAGTCTTGTTGGTATTTTGTAATTAGATTTTCTGGGGCTGGTTTATTAACTGGTTCAGTGCCAAGTGCATTGCAGAATGTCTGTCTGACCTAGGCACACTTTGTGTTTTGTTTTTGGTTTGTCTTTTGACGCACACTAGCATTGTTGCGGATGCATGTGAAGCTGATTAGATGGTGTCAGAAAGGGGATACCGTGTGTCAGTCATGTTCAGGATAAATGCTCAGAAAGTGGAGACTTCTAAACATCTTGGTAGTTATACCATGTATATATTACTCTTTCTAGAAAGCAGCATCACTTAGTTTGAATCTTCAGATCATGTCGTTTCTTGGAATATCTTACCTGACGCTACCATCTCTCTCTTACAACGTTACCTTGTCTCACCGTACTTTGGATCTCTGTCTTGTCCACTGGTCTCTCAATCCCATCTTCTTTCTTTCAATTTACATCATATAACATTTTCCTTGTCCCCTTACCCTGCTATCACTCTTTCCCATAAACCCAAACCCTGTCTCCCCCAGTGCGATCAGTCTGCTTGTCTGTTATCCAGACACATACATGTTAATATATTTTTCTATTAACATGTATGTGTCTGTCTATGCATCGCTCTGTATTTGTCTGTCTGTTGTGCACTCTCCCGTTTTTAAAAATATATTAAGGTGAGAAACGAGACTTGTCCGGGGAACTTTACGAGACAGAATGGACACTTTTTGTGAGCTGTAAGTAAGTATATTGGTGTTTTAGTTCTCTTAGAAAACCGTAGACAATGGTTTTTAGCTGAACTGTAAAAAAAAATATAGAACTTTTTATAGTCCATAATGTACCCTGTTTTATTTAGTGAATCTTGGATTTTTAGACTGTGGGGAATTCACCAGGAAATGAATCATTTAAGGACAGTATAGCCGAGCTGAATAACATTCCGATTTGCAGGAATAGTCACCAAAGTGAGAATTTAAAGTGAATTCCAATTCAGGCCCAGATTAGCCGAACTGAAAGCACACGCTGTCTGAATCGTTCAAGTTCAGCTATTTTCACCTTAAATTTGAAATTCAATTTGAGTTCTCACATTAGTGTTGGAGTATGTTTTAAGTTAGGCTATTTTAGCCTACAATTTGTCATTCCCAACAATTCACAGCTTAGTAAATAATAAATTACTCCAATTGCCTTCATAAACAAAGGGTTTTAGTTCAAAGTAGTCGAACTGGAAACGTTCTCCAAATCCGCGATTTTAAATAAATTAATTAAGCTTGGCTCTTTTAACTCCTGGTTTAGTTTAAACCCCTAACGTGGTTATTTACTAATGTGAGAATTCAAACGGAATTTCAAAATCAAGGTACAAATAGTCTAACTGTAAACATTGATTATCAGTTATGCTAAGTCATACTGGGTAGCCACAAATCAGGCTGGTAACTATTGTTCTAAAACCGCTGAAGATCCTGCAGTTTCCTCACCTTTGACTGGCTCTAAGCAATAATTTTCTTTCTATCAATGGGAATGATTTACTAGCTAGGTAGGTAGTTTGTATGTGTACAGCGAAATGTGTAAAAATATCCAGATTATAGATTATCTTGTTTGTTTAAATTGTGCAAATTAGTTGTAATCTCACAACTCAAATTGTGAATAAACCAGCAACTGTTGGAGAAAAGGATAAGATGACAAGTTCTAAAATAACAATGAATCTCCATTTTTGCTGTAACATCGAGCAATGGGCCAGTGTCTCACTGCAAAATCAGGAAACACTTGTTTAAGCTTCCCATAATATCCAGCTTACAAAGGGACTGAATCCTAAGGGCTTTGGCCTTTATATTTTTTAATTAAAACGTGCATGGATTATAAACAAATGTCTCTTAATTGAGTTCTCAGGCTGTGTTAATTAGAAGAGGGTTTAAGAGCACAACACTTGCATAGTGGTTCACTAGCACTGACACACAGAACCACCTTTTGTGAGATACCGGCTCTGAATATTTCATGTACAAGAGAAGAACAATGTCCAACAGATGATTATTTTGGCAATGTGAAAAGTTAATTAAAATCTTGGACTTTTTGTGTCTGGAGATGGTTTGTAAGAGATAAGACAGAAAATTGGCAAATCCTTCGAACCCAAGGTTTAAAAAAAAAAAAAGGCTTTTTTTTTTTTCCGGCTTGGTGAAAAGGCAGATTTTTGGGGAGCGTGAAACATTGTAAGACATGGCTCTGATGACATCAGCCTTTATCCATTGTAAGTAGTCATGATTTACCCTGCTGTTTGGTTTTAGCATCAATCGCTGAATGCATGTCTTTTTCTTCGCCAAAATTGTACAGAATTTTAAAATCCGAGTTCAGAAATAAATAATAGTTAGGGGTACTTACTACTGATCCACTTTGAGAATAAACTTTTTAAAAGGGTGTCAATTATTATATAATAAACCTGTTTTCACTTAATTATAAAAGATTTACTAGAACAAGTGTTTGTCATGGAACAACTATGAGTTCCAGACTACGATACACTAGTAACAAACATTACTTATAAACATGTATGCGTGGGTCACTTTTATTGATGGCATTAAGAGAATTCTTACATACCGTATATCACATTTATTATCAAAGAAGTGAAAAGTTGGCACTCATTAATTGCTTTATTTTATTATTAGTGGGTTTTCGTTTTTCTAACCAATGCTCTGAGCAGTATCTCTCGTTGCTTCTGCTTGAGAAAGGCACAACTCCAACTATTGCTTTAACAAGTTTGTGAAGATACTTTTTAAGAATCTTGTTATTGTACGATCTTTTCTTTGAACATTGTAAGTTCTATGTTAGACTTTTTATTTCATAAAAATGGTAAAGACCGTATGGTTTTCATTTTACCCATATTTCATTTGTAGACCCAGAGATGAAGACAAGTCCTTATTTCCAAGCCGTGGTAGAGTTTTACAATAAACAAACAGACAGTAAGCCACACAATAATGTTTAATAAAAGTTTAATTAACCAGTTGCTGATTTAGTCTAACAAAATGGGTGTTTCTGTTACAAAATTGCCACCTACAGAATAAGACAAAAAAAATCCACACCTTTTTCAACGTGTCATTAAATATATTCATATATAATAAACACAATATATTAGTATTGGAGAAAAAAAAATCAGCGAATGTTATTCTCTCTCTCCCATCCCATCCCCACCCCACTGGGCTCCGATATAGACATTTTATATTTTAGTTTGATGCTTCTAAGCAACATTTGCATCACTTTTATTAGATCATATGAGAGGTTAGAGCCTGGGTTTAAAGCAGTGTTTGTTGATTAGTTCAGTTAATGATGGCAATATTCTGCATACATTATAAGATGTGAAATCCTGATGTTTCGTATTATGCTCCTGGATTTTCGGCATCTTACGTGTCCACACCCAGAGTGTCAGATGGACTTCACAATTTTAATATGTGATCAAATATCCAAGGTAGGACTAAGGCTAAACCATTCCCTCTACGAATCGTACCCATTGATTTAAAACATTTATAATGCTCGTGTGCTGGCGATATATTTGGACTCTACCAATCATGGCATCCTCTAGCCCTGACAAACAGCTTACACAGGTCCTCACTGACAGCTAAAACTGATTAGAAGACTACGTCATTTTTGCCAGATTGTAGCAGGTACATATTTTGCCTCAGGAGTTTGAAAATCTATACCAAAAAATACTTTAGTTTAATTTGATTCAATTGAAGGAGCACTTTAGCAGAGTAGCAAGTCAAAGTGCTCATTCTGAGACCAATCAGACTGTGCACATCTAATGATGTAAACCTGAAATCTAGCTCCCAAGATCCCCTAAGCCACCAATAGACCGCACCGATTATGTCATTATTAAATAATAAATCCAGCCCACCTCAAAAAAACAACTCTGGCTTTGTGAGAAGTTAAAACATCTGGAGTCTTGAAGGTAGGAAATCGAGGCAGACGGAGGGCTACATTGAAATGTTTAGAGGAACAACTCAAAGAGTAGAAATAAGTTGGTCTCATCGTATAGTGCATAGGGAGGGAGGAACTAAGTTAAATAACCAATGGGTTTTATGTGGATGTTAAGCGAAAAAAATAACCATGGAAACCGATCGAATGTTCCTGTTGATTGCTCCACTTTTAGAATTTTGCACAGAACCCCCTTGTTTTGTGGTTTAATTTTAATAAGTTTAACACAATGAGTGTTTTTTCTGTATCATCTGGATTTTATAGTCTCTTGAAGCTATGATTTATTCCCAGACAGTTGTTATGGTATAAATTAAGAGTAATGGTACACAACAGTCCATACTCTGATGAGAACAAAGCAGACAGAAGACACAGGAGGGGAGCATACGCCACTTCTCATACAAGATTTGCCTATTTAAAGGGACACTAACGTTATGAATACATAATCTGTATTCCTAATGGTACAGTCTTTAGGCGGTTGTAGAAACACCTCGTGATAGATGTTCTATCCTGGTCACAGCGTACCAACAAATAGCTTCCCCTGAGATTGAAAATTAGCATGTATAATTTGTTTAATGTAAGCTTGTAAAACATTTTATAACATCTACACATGTGGCTGTCTGTACAGGACGATAAGCGAGGGATGAGTTATTTAATCTCCGTAGCTGTCTTACAATTAATGTATCTATATTGTAATTTAGCTAGACTGGTTCTTTCGGTGCTGGCACTAACGAGGGAAGGGCTTTTATCACATATCGTGATTGCCAGTTTGGCATGAAAATCCAGACAAATTCACTCTCTAACCCTGAATTTCTGATGTTCACTGGACATATGGATTGTCTACGAGCCAATACAGACCAATTACTTGCTTTGTAATTGTATACAACACAAGCTGATAATGTGACAGTCCTTTCAGAGTTGGTCACTAAATTAAGAATTGGTGGGAATTCAATGTGAATGTAAAGCTAAAACAGTCCTATTGAAAGCGGAATTGACTTGAAGACAGTTTCCTATTTGTGGCAATTCAAACTTTGGTAAATAACTTTGTTTGTGTCTTCTGTAGGCTTTAGTTCACCGTATTGAACATGAGTTCAATTTGTATCAAGTTGTACCTGAAGATAAAATAATGAATTTGGAGACTCTGCCTAAGCTGGACTCTTGGTCTTTGCATTTGTTTATCATTCTCAGCACCATAAAGCCTACTTCTGACATCTGATGGAAAAGCAGGTACGTTCCATCATTTTAGAATTCTGGACACAGTGATGGGAATAATATTTTATTAAAGGGACACCTACACTTACGACGGCATAGAGTACAAGCATAAACGCCATACTAGTGTCTAACCTTACCAATTGGAGCAGATTCATAAAATCACAAACAACTTGAAGTAATTAAGGATTGAGCTTTAGGTAAATGACTGATCTATGAGTCTGCTAACACTAATAACAGCATACAGTACTTAAACCCCTTAACAGTATGAGTCTTATACGTGAATTAGCACAATTTCATAGGAAGAGCAGGTTTGTAATTGACTTTAGTACTTTGTATCACAGCAAGATGTTTTGCTCAGTTTAGTTCCTCTTTGGCGCCTGTGATTGTACAAACAGCTTTATTTTGTATTACAGAATGCATCCATAAAGCCAGGACAACTGGTTCAGATGGGGAGCAGGGTTGTGCAAAACCCTTGAAGGGTTAAGTAGTGACATTTCCCTGTTCATTACCAAGAAGCGACTGACTTATTTGAAAATTATTACGTCATAAAAATTTCTTAAGCATGGACACATCTGGTGAATGTTAGTCTGGGGCACTGGACAGAGAAGGAAGCGTTTGGCATATGGGGCAGGATAATCCGAGATGTAATGGCAGTAACCCTGCCAAGGGATGCTCTGTGTCTGTGCCAAGGGTATGGAATAGGTAGGCAAACCTTCCACTTAATGACAAGAGGATCTCTGATCTTCCTGCAAACACATGACTCACATGTCCTGATTAAACGAGAGCCAGTTTGAACACCGTAGACTTCCGAAATACTACTGGGGCACCTGTTCTATTTTGTTTGTTTTCTTTCTGTAAAGAGCTCGTGCCAGCTGAGATCATGTATGTCAATATTTAGCAACTGCAGGCTGACTTTAAAAAAAAAAAAAAAACTCCGGAAAGGAGATGAATGAATGCTTCCCTAAATGTAACCCCTGATATTCCAGATTGATTTTTTAGAATGCTAGAACCTAGCCTGTCTAATTCTAAAACAGTCTGTATAACCCAATGGCTGCGCTCAAAACCACAGAGAGCCCCCCTAACTCCCTTTAAAAAAAAAAAAACGCTTCGGCATTTACTCACTAAACTTTCAACGATTGACAACTGATGTGCCAAGTTCCAGGTCATAACAGCTTAGTTGGGAACTTGAACTATACTTTGCTAATTGGTTAATTTTCCTTAACTCAGATTTCAGTTATTTATTTATTTTTTCAATAATCTTTAATAGACGTTAGTGATACATTTTCATAAACATTCTTAACTCGAATTCCAAAGCAATAATCTAATTCCCCCAAATTTTTCATAACGTGAAAGAATTCACTTACGTAGACGTATATACAATATAGCTTAACCTTTTTGAACTACAGGAGACGCGAACTATGACGCCGTGTAGAAGAGCAATAACATATCTAGCGTGACATGATCTTCTAATTAAAGAAATGGTTTGTCTTTTCTTAATAAAATGCATAGCGCTAATGCAATATAGTAAAATGACAATCACATGGATTTATTGTGATCGCAGCATTAATGTTGCATCAATTTATTTGAAAACTTTCAAATCGTTTATTTAATTAGGCCAAGTAATGATTTTGAAGAAACAAAGTCCTTTGCATTGAGGCCTATTATGAAAATTCTTGTGCTGCATTGGTGAAACGTGAAAAAATGTGCGTGCACAAAATTCTGTTTACATCAGTTTTTCTCCAGGTCATCTGACATAATGATTAATCAAAATGTGCAGGTTTAGAAGATGCAAAGGAAATTTGCTGAACTGTGTTAGCCTACAAATTTATACACGTTGAATTTTATTTTTTTTAAGTTTCTTACTTTTGATTTTATACTTTGCAACTTTCTGCTTGCGTTCTGGGGAAGCCATAGTATTCCCTAAAACAAGCTGTATAGCAAAGATCGGTTGTTTGTAGCGAATGTGTTGCATGTGCAACAGAATAGAATGGAGCTGTTTAACTTCTGACCTCAAATCGAGCGGATGCACCGCAGGGTAATCCTTACAAATTAGCAGAGCAAACACAGGATCAGGAGTCCAGGAAGGAGAGGAATCTTTCTCCCGGACTCGCTGATGGCTCTTACTGTAAAACGACCTTTGCTCTCTCTTTGCAGTGGTGACCTGGTATAATTAGCTGCTCGTAATCCGTCCAGGCCTCTGGGGGCTGTGTACACCGACTTAATGCTCTGTCGCTTAGCGTCTGTAAGATGTTCTGGAAATACAGGAGCTTATTCCAAAACTCCGCACACATACTGACCCTCCACACCAAACGCCAATATCCTGTACCTTGGCCAAGGAAAACGGCAATTACTCGAGCACTGATCTCAGTTCAGAAATGGCATTTTATTTATTTTTACCCTGCACATGAAAGGAAGAATGCAATGCTAAGGAAAGGTCATAAAATCATACTTCATCCTATGTGATTTCCTCGCATTTACCAAATCTGGATAATTCTTCCTATTTCTCTGAACCCATCTTTAAACTTCTGTGATCCTTATTACTCTATATAATGTACTGTTACTCCAATTTACACAATTCAAACACTCCCCCCACTTCATAGTTTTGCAGAATATGAAATTACGTTACAAATATTGTCCTTTAAAAGTTTATAATACACTCCAGCAAACAAAGCCAGTTTCAGAGGCTGTAACAGATTGCATAATAAAATGATTCAGGAGTGGGATCTAATAAAACACCAGGAGTAGTATACAATGGACTGCTTTTAGGAAGGCCATTCCCCAAAACTAGTCAGCGAGGGTTCCTTGCAACACATTAAATAGATTAAAATTTTTATTAGGAGGGGCACTCTCTAAAGGAACCTGAAAAGGTTAACATAGCTGAGCTGGACAAAATATGTAAGTCCGATTTACCCCACGATCTGTCAGTGACCTGTTCTTGTCACACACAGCATGGAATAATGGAACATCGGCTACAATCTTGCCCAGCCCCAAATCTTTATTATTTGTGAGTTTCTTAGAGACTGGTAGGGATCCCTATATGACAGCATTTTATCTGCCGTCTCTATGAACAGACTGTCTAAACATTTTGACAGAAGTAATTTTTGCTTCATGTAGAGTAGAATTAATGGTTATCAACCTATTCATTTTATGGACTATTAGCTGAAGTCAAATTTTGCCAGCTTGGTTCTTTGTCCATATGTTTCGATGTATCACCAAACTAGGGACTAATGAAAGTATTTAGAAAATTGGGCAGACTAGATGGGCCGAATGGTTCTTATCTGCCGTCACATTCTATGTTTCTAAACTAGTATGGTTCAGGACAGTAACCACACATTTGTAAACACTGACTTTCAGATTATAAAGTGTAAATTGGACAATGGGGTACTTTGATCCCAGTATACAGCTCCTCAAATCCTTAATGCTTTAGTTTCCAGGGTGGCAGGTAATGCATCTGGGGGTACACCATTGGCGTAAACACCCCAATAATTGTGTAATTTAATTTTCTGTCTACTTGGTAAAAAAAAATAAAAAAATTATTGTAACGCTTATATATTTTCTGAACTCTGTAAATATATATACTCTGCTGGTATCCTTACACTAAGGCTCCCCAATACGACCAGCTAATACTGTAACCCCTGTATATATTGCTACATACAGAGGGTATTAGACATATAAAATACACAACATAAAGAATTTTTTTTCTTTTTAAAAAAAGTTATTTCATTGATATACACACTTAAAATGTTAGGATTTGCATTTTTATACAAATTAAATCTTTCTAGGCATAAAAACCTAGCAGTCGCCCCTTGCAGGGGAAGGTAGAGGGGAGGAACATGTCAGAGGGGGATATCTAACCACATTTGAAGTGGAGGTGGAAAATAAAGGGTGTGAGCCCTTTTTTTGTTTCCAAATCTCTGTTGCGCTGTTGTTGGGTTACCAACAAATATTAACTGCCCCTAAGGGTGTTTAGAGGTAACTAGGTTCCTACGGGGGTTGTTGGTCTCCATTCCAGATGAGTGGAAAGGCCACGGGGCATTGAATGTGAGAAACACTTAAACGATTAATGACTCACAGCCAAGGAGATAACAAACAGGTGCAAATTTCACAACTCGCCAAGCCGTAACTCTCTCTGCATTAACTCTCCCAAAGCCACCCACCCTCTCTCCACTCTGCATCACGTGCTTGTGTGTCTGTGAAGAATTCTACATATTAGGTGCAAACGCGTCAGTTCCACAAAGAACAACAAAAACAAAACAAAAAAAGACCCTCTTTCTGTCTCCCCACACAATGCCAACTTCGAAAAGCAAGGTTCCAGCTTCCTTCTGGAAAAAAAAAAATGAAAAAATAAACAGTTTCTAATCGAAAAACCTATCTGCTCCAGATTCTACAGCAAGCAGCAAGTACGGTCCTCTCTCACTCTTTCTTCTACATGACTTCAGTTTTCCTCCGAGGGCCATCTCTCTTCTCCAATACGTTCACCTAAGCTTTCTTGCACTTTCCCTTCTTTTCTCGCTGTTGGAACTTTCTCAGCCTCCTTGCCCACGTGTCCCTCCACTGAATGACCAAGCTAGTCTTATCTGCTACCACTCCATTCTGGTCTGGTGAATCCTCATCATTTCCCAGGAGAAGATATTTCTTCATGGGTTTCAGTTTGGGGCATTTGCATGCAATATCTTTGGAGCGGATCCACAGGTTTTGGTCTCCCCGCCTGATGCGATTGGTCCCTTGTTTGTACACCGAGATGACATTAACTGTGAACTTCCACCAGTCTCCAGCTTTGTCCGCTTTCAGGATGTGAATCTGCACAGCTGGAACCAGAAGGTGGAGAAGTTAATAAGACTTGTTAGAACTATTTCTAGTTAACAATTTAAGGCCTTATTATGGCAGCTATAACAGAGGAACCCCAGCCATTCACGTTTTCTCTGACAAGTTAACATAGTTTAAAGCTTTTTGTTAGCACTCCTGCTTACTGAGATTCTGTAGGGGACCTCGTATGGAGTACTATGAGAACTTATGGACAGTAAATTGGGTGATACATACCATATATCCACATTATGCTTGGAACTATGAATTTGAATATTAAAGATGTCTGATGTAAACTGTATAAAACATAACGTGGATAATTGTATAATGGTCATACATAATGTGCAGGTTGTAGCGATGGTGATTTTTTAAAAATAATTCTCAACCTCGACCTTTATGAACCTGCTGTGACCTAACAATTGGTAATATAAAACTCCTCATACAAAGATTAGCTCTACCTGCCCCCCTGATATGGTAGTGATACATGGATTATATGTATCCTAAGCCTTATTGTACTGGCTGTGACCCATGGATGGTGATATTCTAGCAAATCCTACCATGGAAGAGCTAGTTCTAGCTAAAGGACCCATTTAACCACCTTAGAGGAGCCTCTAGAATCCATCCACTCTAGAGTAAGAAGGGGGGCTGCAAGGGTCTTATGGGGGAATGAGACACCTTTGGAAAAATCAACATTCTCAATTCTAAAGGCTTCCAGGATTTGTTTTTTTTCCTTCCAGCTGTGAAAACATTGGTGCAGGCTCAGGCTGTGCCATTCACAATGAGCAGAGAGGGGAGGAGGGCTGAGTGCATACTCACTGTGTGATTTCTGAGAGGGGCACTCACATATATACCATATCTGTCACTCACTCACTGTACAGAGCGAGTGAGAAGTAATGTGTACATGGATGGACACTCACCCTGGTGGCTGTCACCAAGTGCCATCTGATGGAATGATACAATTATCTGAGTGTAGACTCTCATACATACCTGTTCTGGATGTAGGAAAGAAGTGATAATCTGGATCTTAAATGTTGTTGCTAAGGGGCTTATCTGCTATACAGCAAGCTCAACTGCACTGGCAATCTAGTCGATACCTTACAGCCAAAGTAGCAGAGCTGTGCTGACAACTATCCAGTAAAAAAAAAACCTCTGTTTTCTGAGCCCAGGTAGTTAAGGTGTTATATCAATGATCAACTCACATACAGTGGTTCTGTCACCCACCGCAAGTTAATTCTTCTCATCTGTAGTTTTATTGGACAATTATTTTATTTATATAGCGTTAGCAAATTCCGTAGCGCTGTACAATGGGCAGAGTAACAGACACGTAATTGTAACCAGACAAATGGACGCACAGGAACAGAAGGGTTGAGGGACCTGCTCAATGAGCTTACATGCTAGAGGTAATGGGGTATATAAGTAGGGGTAATAAAAGAATTCAGTGAACTTATTTTTGACAGTTGCAGGAGAGGAGTCATGGGGGTAAAAGGGGGGAATGAAAATCCGCTAACAGTTTAAATTATATGCTTTCCTGAAGAAGTGAGTTTTCAAAGATATTTTGAAGGAGTGGAGACTGGGTGAAAGTCTAACGGATAAGGGAAGGGAGTTCCACAGAAAAGGTGCAGCCCTGGAGAAGTCTTGGAGCCGAGCATCACATGTGGGAGTACAGACAGAGGATAGATGTAGGTCTTTGGCAGAGCGCAGGGGCCTCAACGGGACATACTTGTGTATTAGGGAGGATGGGTAAGTTAGAGCAGCATTATGTAGGGACTTGTAAGCAAGCACCAGAACCTTAAATTGAGCCCTATATCTAACTGGAAGCCAATTTATGGACTGACAGAGGGGGGAGGTGCGGGCGGACAGGAAAATGAGCCTCGCAGCTGCATTCATTATAGATTGCAATCGGGGAATATGTAAGACCACTGAAAAGGGGATTGCAATAGTCAAAATGAAACCAGCACTTTAGTCACGTCTGGTGTTAAATAGGGGCGGATGCGAGCTATGTTTTTGAAATGGAAGCGGCAGGATTTGATGACCAACTGGACCTGAGGGGTGAAGGAGAGGTTGGAGTCAAAGAGAACACCAAGGCAGCGAGGTAGAGGTGATGGTGGCGCCGTTGACTTGGAGGGAGACAGACACAGGAGTAACAACACTTGAGGGAGGAAAGGCCAAAAGTTTTGTTTTGGACAGGTTGAGTTTAAGGAAGTGAGCAGCCATACAGTTGGAAATAGCAGAGGGGCAGTCAGAGACACGAGTCAAGATGGGAGGAGAGAGATCAGGAGAGGACATGTAGATTTGCAGGTCATCTGCATATAAGTAATAATGGAAGCCAAAGGAGCTGATGAGTTTACCAAGGGAGGCGGTATAGATTGAGAACAGTAAGGGACCAAGGACAGAACCTTGGGGAACACCAACAGAGAGGGATTTGGGAGAAGAGGCAGAGCCAAAGAAAGAAACACTGAGAAAGCGCCGGGAGAGGTAGGAGGAGCACAAGGAGAGAGCAGTATCTTGTAGACCGAGATTACGGAAAATGAGAAGAAGCTGCTGATGATCAACAGTTTCAAAGGCAGCAGAAAGAGCAAGGAGAATTAGGATACAGTAATGGCCGAGATTTAGCGATTAGATCGTTTGATACTTTAGTCACAGCTGTTTCAACAGAGTGACGAGCAGAGAGTTGGATTCAAGGAAGTCTGTCAATCTCGCATACACAACTCTCTTAAGGATCTTGGAGGCAAACAGCAGTAACGATATAGGGCAGTAGTTGGAGGGGGAGTTGGGGTCAAGGTTGAGCTTTTTCAGAATTGGCGTTATGGTTGCATGCTTGAAGAGTGAAGGAAATGTGCCAGTGGAAAGGAAGAGATTTAAAGTTTTTGTGAGAGGAAGAGCAAGAGCGGGAGATGGTGCGGATGAGATATGAGGGAATAGGATCAAGTGAACAGGTGGTGGGGCAGGAGGACCGGAGCAGAGCAGAGCAGAAACCTCTTCCGTTGTAGTAGGTGCGAATGAGCATAGAACAGTAGAGTGAGTGGGTTGGGTGATGTATTGGAAGGGGAGGGAGACAGATTAGAGATCTCTTCCCTGACTGTAAAGAATCTTCTCAGTGAAGTGAATAGCAAAGTTTGAGGCAGATAGGGTGGTAGGAGCAACAGGGCAAATGAGAGCATTAAAAGTGTGTGAAATAGGCATTTGTGTTGGCGGGACAGTGTGCTTATGAGGGTGTTGAAGTAATTTACTTTTGCAGAGTGTAGGAGTGCAGCATAAATTTAAAGTGGAGGAAGTCAGGTGCAGAGTGAGACTTTCTCCAACAGCGTTCAACAGTTCTGGAAACAATTTTGAGATACCAGGTCAGCTTGGTGTGCCAGGGTTGTAATTGGGAGCGCTTGCTGCATTTAAATGTAGAAGGTGCCATGATGGAGAGAGTGGAGTTGTAGAGTGAGGTTGCAGAGTTAGGGCAGGTGAGATCTGAGATGGGTAAAAGGAGACTTTGGAGATTGGTGGATAAATGCTGGAGATCAAGGCAGTGGAGGTTTCTGTGAGATTGGAGAGTTTAAGGTGGTGAAATTTGGGTACGGGGTATGCTGATGTCAAAGGTCAGCAAATAGTGGTCAGTTAGAGGAATGTTAAAGTCCCCAAGTATGAGGGAAGGAGTGCTAGAGGGGAGAAAGTGGGATGGCCAGGAAGGGGGGGAGAGGAGGGTGGCGATAGATGATGGCAGTTCTTAAAGGAGTGGGCTTAAATATGCGGACAGTGTGAACTTCAAGGGAAGTAAATGATAGGTTGAAAGGTACATTGAGGGGAGAGAAGGATGCCTACACCGGCGCCTTTACAGTTGAGTCTGGGAGTGTGGGAGAATTGTACTCCACCGAAACATTAAGAAGCTGGAGTAGCGGTATCGGAGGGGGGCAGCCAGGTCTCAGTGAGTGCTAGAAGTGTGAGGGAATTAGAGATGAAGAGGTCGTGTGCGGCCGTTGATTTAATATTGCTACAGATGGAACGTGCGTTCCAGAGTGCCCACTGAATGTTGGTAGAGGAGGAGAAACAGCAGGGTATTTGAATAAGGTTTGCGTGGTTTCTAGTTGTTTTAGTATGAGCAGACGAGGTAAAAGACTCTGGGTTGGGAGAGACATCACCAGCTGCTAGAAGTAAAAGGAGATATAGTGACAGGAGGTGTGAATCGGTTTTATCACAATCTGCTGTTTTGGCCTTTTGATTGCATTTCAGTTTTCATTACAAGTCAATTCTAATAACAGTGAATGTCTTGTATCAATAATTGCTACAACCAAACTTGGTATAACTTGAACCTTAGTAAATCTGTCCATTGTCACTTAGCCTGCTCTTGCTGGTAACCGATCATTATATGTGATGCAGGACTCCAAAAGGACAAGAAGTGTGCCACATCAATTGGTTTCTAAAAAGACAGCTTTTTTTTTTTTTTTTAAACAATAGGGTTTGTTTACAAAATACTTAATTTATAAGGAGCACTCTGTTATAACTCTAAGGCTCCTTAGTGAGTGTATGGATGCCGTTCCCTGGCTTTTAAGTCCAGGCTGTTCCTGCCCCATGCTGCATCTGCACTGATGATGTAGAAATTACACTTCCCCATTATCAAGTGCAAATCCGTCCAACCTCTGATGGCAATGAGAGTTTGAAGGACAGGTCAGCCCATACATCTTTTGCTGTCCAACCTGTGAGCTACTACCGCTAACTCTACCCAAGCTGTCACACCAAGGCCCGCCAACAAGACTACAATAGCCATTATCTTGAGTCAGTCTGTTTGTGGATATCAAGAATAGTAGTTTAATAGCAGCCACAGTGCTGCTTGAGGTCTATTCTGTGTCTGTACACCCCGATCTGAAGCTATATCTTTCCATCTAAATTTCCTATGCTTTGCCGGCACATTTCCCATATCAATATATCATTATAGTTTGTTTGGGTTTTTTCCCCTCCCAATTCTTATTTATTTTTAATAAAATTTCCAGTCTAGTAATTTATCTTCACAATTTACTTTAGTGAATCCAAGACAATGTGCTTTTCATGGAAAAGGTTAAAAAAAAATAAAAAATTTAGAGGGCAAAAAGTTATGGTTCGTCTATGTCTGCTCTTTTGTCTAACAAGGGTTAAATACACGGACACACACGTTTGACCTGTTGGCATGGACGCAAGGCAGCGATATTGGACATCCCTTAATTTACAGCCTTGAATATGGATTGTCTCTTTTATAATGCAAGGTGATATTGTCTCACTACCTTCCTGTAAATTAGAGCTCCTGCCCACTGGTTTCACAATGTAGCCGTGCCCCTGCCCTGTTAAGATACACTGTAAAAAAAAAACAGAATCAGTCCCGTCCCTCCACTCTGGGAAAGTTGGCAGAATCCATTTCCCCTTTGCACAAAGCTGTGCCCATCCAAGCCACAGAGATCAGACACCAGCGGATTAGCCTTTCGGCCAGCAAAGAAGCCCTCATGCTGAGGCGAAATAGCTGCGGTTTGTAAGTGAGCGGACGTATTAAATGGAGCAGCATGTGTCCCTGGGATGCCCATTTGATGATTGTAAGGCACCCCTTGCTGGGAGGCAGAATGCAGCATGTCAGCTCTTTCACTCTCCTTATTCTGCAGCCGTACACGACGCAGACGTCTTTCTTGTCAGAACGCAATGGCCACAGTCCAAAGCCTCGAACAGGAATCGCGTCTTGTCATCTGCATCAGGTTGAGGGGGTTGGGGTTTACGGGCACAGCAGGAGAAACCAATTAGATTTCTTCTTTACCCGCTAAGCTGTCTATCGGAGACAGCGATGGATTGCAGTATGATTTTATAAAATCTATCACCAGATTTCTTCTTTAAAAAGAGCACTCTGGGTATCAACTATTTCTGTGCATTATACAGAATTTAGCCTATAGGATTAGCTGTGTCTATTGTGTGCTCTAATTTGTATAGTAGAAATGTGGATTTTTTCCATAATTCCATTCTATCCATAGAATGCTTCCTTCTTGCTGGTAACTGTTCTACAGCTAGCTTGTCATCTCATAGCTCCCGGTTAACAGTAACCAAATAAACCCCAAAAAGGTAGCAGTATAGCACTGTTACTACATATGTCTACCAAAAGATATTGAAATGAGCAATCCTTAGACATTGCGTCCCCCTTTTCCCCTTTTCTTTTTTTTTTTTAAATAAGCCATTGCTTGTAGCGGAGAATCCCATGAAGGGGATTAGAAGAACATAGCAACTTACCATAATCTTTTTTGCAGTATTTCTTCATGTTGATTTTTAGCTTCCCTTTTGATGCCTTGCAATAAGTTTCACAATCTAAGGAAGAAGAGAGAGAAAAGGGTGAGTGTATTAACAGATCTCACAGACACAGCCTGACCATCTCTTGTTTACTGTCAAAATATCTGTTTCTGTAGGTATACAACAAACATAGAAACATAGAATGTGACGGCAGATAAGAACCATTCGGCCCGTCTAGTCTGCCCAATTTTCTAAATACTTTCATTAGTCCCCTGGCCTTATCTTATAGTTAGGATAGCCTTATGCCTATCCCACGCATGCCTAAACTCTCTCACTGAGTTAACCTCTACCACTTCAGCTGGAAGGCTATTCCATGCATCCACTACCCTCTCAGTAAAGTAATACTTCCTGATATTTTTAAACCTTTGTCCCTCTAATTTAAGACTATGTCCTCTTGTTGTGATAGTTCTCCTTTTAAATATAGTCTCCTCCTTTACTGTGTTTATTCCCTTTATGTATTTAAATGTTTCTATCGTATCCCCCCTGTCTCGTCTTTCCCCCAAGCTATACATATTACTACCACACTTCCAGGGATTAATCCACGTCACACTTTACAGACTAGAGGTATGTCTTAAACTGAGCAATAAGTTCTTCAAAGTATTTGGCCTCTGCTGGGAGGATAGCCAATGAATCCATCATATTTTAATAGAGGCCTTGCTATGGTGCGTGGTTGGCCTGAATTAGCCCTGAAACAATCCGTATTTTCGGGCATATTTTGTATTTATCATCTTTTTATCCGTACTGGTGAACGTTTTAAACAAGAATTCAACAGAAGGCATGTTATTTAAAATTGGGGGTACTCCGAGCACATGCAACTACAATATTTAGGTTACAGAAAGTTATGATGGCTGTTTTTTCTTTCAATATATTTAGGGTTGTTTTTTGGCTCTAAAGTACCTCTGACATGTTTCTGGGCGTTGTAATTCAGCTATTAGCATTTTACAGAAAAGCTGCCAAATGAACTACCATTCCCAGAAACCCTTGCTGTGTCCAAAACAGACTCGTAGCTGTTATGTGATCCTTTGCATGGCGAAAGCTGAACGTGAAGTCCTTGGAATATCAAAGGACAGCGGGAGGAAGTGGCTTCAGACTGAGAGCCACTAGAGTTTGTTTTCGGCTAAATGTAAACAGTTAAAGGGACTCTGTGCAGGAACAGCAATGCTTTCATTTCAGGGTTAGCATGCATCAAGTGGCCATCTTCCTAACACTAATAATCTTTTTTGCAGTATTTCTTCATGTTGATTTTTAGCACTTCCGCAGCTATAGCAGAGTCAAATTCTGTGTTGGATCAAATGACTCTCATAGAAAGAATTTTACTGTGCATGCGCACTAGCCTCTCAATGCTTCCCTATAGTGTTCCTTTAAATATCCAAATATTCAATATTTTTAATTTCTGAGTAAAAGCACTACAGTGAGATGCAGTCTGTTGTCTTGATGCCTAGAGCAGTGGTAGGCAACTTCAGTACTCCAGATGTTGTGGACTACATGTCCCATAATGATCACAAAGCCATAATGCTGGCAAAGCATCAGGAGCGATGTGGAGTGCTAAGGTTGCCTACCCATATCCCTGTGATTTTAAGTTAATGGTAACACATTACACATTGTGGGTTAAGAAACTTGGCAGATAGTGAAAGGATGAAACGATGGAACTTACATGTCTACACAGCCCTATAAAACCTTATGCAAGAGACCGGATTTAATCACCTTTATTTAATTTGGTTCTTAGATGTTCTTAAATCTCTACCCATTTTATTGTGGACTTTTGTTTTACACAAATCTTTGTATTCAGTTAACAGAATCGTTTTCCGCTAATAACCAAATCCAATTTATAGATTAATCCACATAAACAGGGCTTAGACTGACCCACAGTGATGTAGGGCTCGTCAGCATAAACAGTCACTGTAAGGTGTGGGATGGGGTTCTGGCCTTATGTATGCTGTTAAAACCACAAATGTGTTGTGTTTTCAGTATAGAACCGTGCCTTATGATTAACGGATTCCGTAGTTGCAGTGCACAACAGACAAATCCCCTGCTTGCCAGGACGTTTAGCCAACTGGTCATGCAGTGTACGTTACTGTACTCACAGATAGCATTTTAAAAGGACCATATCGTGTAAGTGCAATTGGGACTGTATTTAAGATTTTTTGGCAATTGCTAATGAGCTCACGACGCTAGCGAATTATTTTATATCCAAGATCCTTTAAATACAAAAGCTCTTACCCCCTGATCCTGCACAGAGTCCTCTGCTGTATTACACCAGATTCCAATGTCCACTGTGTGTAATAAAAGTGCATAATAAAATAAAACCTCAGTCGTCCTATTAGACACCGGTGGGAAAAGCGAATATAGAGAACGGAGAGCTTGCAATTTTTTAACTGACAGTGCTAAGTGTTGAATAAATCTTTAAGCAAAAGCATTAAAAGGTGCACTGATCTAACTCCTCCTTGTTCTCTGTAACTGGAATCCACGGTTTAAACTGATAAAAATTGAGTAGTCAGTCAGGAGTTAGACATTGATAATTAAACTGCAAGTTTGGTATTAATTCTTACAATGCACAAAAATATATATAAAATTAGACATTCCGGACACCAACGCAACGTAAGTGCATTTGACCTTATACTCATGATATTTTTCTCCACACTTTCTGCAGCATAACTCCGCCCCCTTAGCCACACCTCCTCTTTTTACAAAACTACTTCCTTATTAGATGTAAACTTAGTACGTACTTAGTTCAGCCAATGAGAAACCAGTGTGAGTTTAGTTGATGACATGACTTACAGCCAATCACTATCTTGTCTATTATTTGCTTCCCATTCCTCTTAGTATGACTTTGAAATACTATATCAAAAAGAAGAGGAAAGTGATTGGCTGTTGGGTGGTATAGTCAGCAGCTACACTGATCTCTCTTTGGCTGAGCTGCACTGCGTTCCCTCCAATCAGGACGTATTGGTAAAAGAGAAAGCATCAGTTTTGTTTTGTTTTTCCTTTGGGAAGTTCTTGGGAACAGAAAGAAAAACATTACAAGTTTTCTATAAAATAATAATATAGTATTATCATTTATTACCTGCTTTTAGGGGGGATTTTTTTCCCCATTAACGAAGAAGATGTAATGAGCCGACAACTGGCAAAATGTTGGAAAACTTATTTGAGTTGTAGAATTTTTGCTTTATTTTAGAGATAAATGTCACCCAGGCTGATATGGAGAATAAATAGTGCATAGCTCTGTCCCATCTCGGCCGGGAGGTCGCTTAGTGCACGACTGACAATAGTCAATCCTTTCAATTAGCCGGTATCTGTGATGTGCCCATCCTCCCCCAGCAGGGGCAGAGCCTCTCATTAACCTCCAGGCTGGGAAACAAGGAGAGTTCAAACCAGTGCACATTAGTCTCCTTTTATTCTCCCTGAGTAAGATTGATTGGAGGACAAATCGCCACAAATAAAGCATGTAATTAGATTAAGGCCCCATTATTGTTTCAGGGTTTGTTTTCTCCTGTTGAGACGGCTTTGGATTAAGAGGCCAAAAAAAAAAAGCACAGAAATATATATTCAGTGATACAAGCGATAGGAAATTAAAATCAGAAGCTTGGCTCTATTAATGTAGCAGTTTGAAATGAGAGTCTGGGTCAGTGATGACTAAATCTGTCACTGTAGACTTTTGAGCTACATCTCCCATCATGCTTAGCCAGTCTTTGTACAGTACGAAGGTTAGCCATCGCCAAGCACTTATGTCTTCATGTTCTGTTAGGGAACGCGTCCATCCATAGCAGGTTGTGATCTCGATTTGGCTGATTGCGTTGAAAGACGCAGTTCATGTCTTGTTTAGTTCTTTGCAGTGGGTACAGTAACAGGCATATCTAATGGGATTTGTGTCAGTAGCTTTACTACTGACAGTTCCTCGGTGATGTCCCTTCACTTCACAGAGACAATAGGAGAAACGTATCAATGTGTTCAGAAAGATTCTGTAAAGTACTATAAGTGGGACTATCACCATGGAAACCAAAAGGCAAATTCTATTGGGGACTCTGCGTCTTTTGCATCTTTTCAAAACATTCCTGAACACGACAGTTTGATAAATCTGTTCTGTTTGTCCTGTGTACGATCCAGGGTGATTTTATTTTTTTACTATTATTAGTATAGGTTGCTTCTGTTTTCAGATTGTTATTTCTATCTTCACTAACCTTTTATTTCAAAAATTGATAAGTTTTTAGTACGAATGATCACATGATCCATCGTCGGAGCCCACGTTTCCACTGTTCATTACGTGTCTTTGCACAATAACACATAGGGAAAGACGGTATATCTCTCACTGGTATTACAGCAGACTTCTCAAACTTGCAGGTGATACAGAAAACAGTTTGTACTGCAATAGCCATGTCTTTGTGGTTTGATGTGACTGTGAACGCACATCATTATGTGGTGGAATGTGCCAATAAAGTCACATTTCCAATGTTTTGAGTAAATGTTGATTGATTACTAATCAAACCTAGTTCCATTAAGAAAGACTGAATCCTCTCGTTCCACAGAGACCGTCATCGGACTTATTAAAAGATAACTACATAAAACAAATCATTTTATGTTCTTCAGGGAAAACCCAAATAATTCTGTGACCAGCACTAGAGTTTATAAAATACAAAGGACTTTCTTGCCTAAAAAATTGTCCTGTTTATGGCAATATACCGATGGACTCAGGAGAGAAACCAACGAAGAAATCTCTGTTTATATAGAATGTCATTGTGCTTTCTCACAGCTTTTGTGCTGTAAAATTCAAATGGATGGGTGGTTTTTCTGTTCACCACCTCTGGTGGTCCGTTTCACCTTAGTAACCCCCGTGAGACCCTTGCACCATTCCATTGTCAGGCTCAGCCATTGCTGGACTAAGGAATTTAGGAGGGATGTCTGCTAGGAAGACCTATTATGGAGCAGGACAGTGAACAATGCCAGTTAATGTATAGCAAAAACCAAAGAGTATTAAGGTATACACACTGGGAGTTTGGGTACACACTATCAATGCAACACAAACATTCAAAACAAAGCGACCGTAAAATGATTGGAAACTGCTTGTGTACGCCAGGAACTGAAAAATGTGCATTGTTTAGCAACTCTAGTCAATAGAGCAATAGGATTTGTATTTTACAGTGGGAGGAGCTACAAGGCAGACTTGAAGACAGTGACAATGCATCCAGAGCTATAGCTATATATATATATATATATATATATATATATATATATATATAGTGCCCACAGGTGTACCTTGAACATTTGACATGTCCTACAATAAATTGCTCGAGAACTTCAACAATGCAATGTATCAATCTCCGCTTGCAGTTAGCTTTCTGAATCGATACAAGGTACAGAGGCAGCTCTGTATGCTATACGTCCCATCCCAGAGCACACATTCTCAGGCAGTTACACACAGCTCCAACCCTGCATGAACGAGTAATTGAATGTAATGAAATACAAACAGGCAAAGAGAGAATTACTAATACTCAATGGAATCCCAGAGCCTCTGCCAAGAAACTGGCTCTCTGCAAACCCTGCGCTGCACTCTCTCGCACTCCAGAAAGGAGAAGAGACCTATCTGTATCTTCATCAAAAACACCAAGTCCCTGGCCAGCATTCTGCAGTAAGAGCATGATGGCACAGGAACCTGCCAGAGTTAAGAGGTCATACTGTTGGTCCACGACTGGACTAGGACTTTGTGACCAAAGATCTTATAGACCAGGAGAGCAGGCTGGCAGCTTAGGTGGTAGAATCTGAGGATATTATGAATATAAAATCTTATTTTACCATTTCTGTCTTGTATGCACACAAAATGGTAAAAATGATAAAACTTGCTGATAATCTGAGTATTTTTATGCATGATGATGTGGCTATATGAGCACTGAAAATATAGACCTGGCTTTAAAAATTAAGCAGCTACCGGGTATGAACCCTATAGACTTTAAGGAACTGGAATACGCTGGACTGGAAAGGTTTGGACACCTATTTCAGGGCAAGTAATTCATCTCCTTTTTTGACCTGCAACAAGGGGTCAGACTGTCTCCAAGAGATTACTTGAGATATATGCAGTTAAGAGACTTTGCTAATCATGAAATAGCCTGCCCGGACTACCTTAAAAATGTTTGGAAATTTATGCACACAGGAGGCCCCCAAAAAAGGGCTGATCTCCCAGATATACATACAATTCTGCACTCACTCGAACGAATGGGGCAACCTTAAACACACTGAGTTATGAGAAAAAGACCTGAGGGGAATGGGAGGAAATGGAAAGCAAATGCCAACTCTTCTATCTGTGTAACACTACAGGAACAATCATTCAAAACCCTATTTCACTGGTACACCACACCAGTTAAATTGTATCATATGGGGAAGACCGAAATGGATGACTGTTGGAGGCAATGTGGGCATAGGGGAACCTAATACCACATATGGTGGGCATGTCCAAGAGTAGTAGTGTTGGTTTAAGGGAAGGGGAGGTCTCTTGCCACTCGCATTCTACAAAGACCGGTACCTATGGATCCTTGGCTGTTCTTGCTTTCAAGCCCTATAGAGGGTTTTAGCTCCCATGAGAAGAAACTCCTGGGTAGAATCACGCTAGCAGCTAGCAAAGCCCTCGTCCAGTTTTGGTTAAAAAGAGGAGACCCCTCCACTAATGAACAAACTGACAGCAAATTTTCAAAACTCTTTTCCCCCACATTGCAGAAAACATGGGCTTTTTGAGAAGAATATGAGAATGAAGGTGGCCTAGGTTCCCCCCCACCCCTCTCTTAACTGTACCTGGTGCTCTTCATTACCCCTTTACTTCCTACTTATAAGACTTGCCTATAATCTATACACAAGGTTGGTGTGTATCCCAAAATTTTATGTACTAGAGAATGAATATCGTTAATATGGTCCACCGCAATTATGAATACGCAAGTGATATACCCCAACTATGCAAGGTGCCTAATGGACGTTTACATGAGGAACCACCATCCCACACGAGGCACCGTGTCTCGCACAGTAGTGTCTGAACAACTCTCTTAACTCAAAGTTGATAACTTCTATATCATTGTAATTATTGTTTTGGGACATTTGCCGCAGTTTACCGTTTGAAAATATGCTGCTATACCCTTTGTATTATGTCAATGCTTCTGTGTTCGGCAACAAATAAAGAATTTAAAAAAAAAAATTTTTATTTTTTTTTAAAAAGCAGCTATGGTAAGGTTGCAGGGGGTGGCTTTGGAATTACCATACACGGAACCTTTAACCCAGGTTTTCCCTAATGTGTTACTCCAAGCTTCATACCCACTACAGCCCACTATGGTGGTAATAATGCTAGAAGTACCCTGGTGCACTGCACTTTATTGTTTTCACTAGGGATTTGCACAGATAAGGCATGGGTATTTAGAACCAGCCTTACCCCTTTCTTTGTTTGCTTCTAGCTAGTTATGATGTGGATGTATTAGGTGGTCCACGATACCTTAGAGAGTGAGTGCTAGCTTAGAACACCCATGAAGGTGTTATAGGAGATTAGGGATCAGTTTTGAAGCTTCTATATAGCTTCAGTTTAATAGCTTCCATACTAGCTAGTCCATTTCATGTATTGTTGAATCATATGTTGTCCATTTATATATTTTTTGTCAGCACCGTTAGATCTCCCTAGTTGGAGATTATCTTTATTATTTTTCAGTCTATTACATAAATTAGGGTACAAGCCCTTGGTGGAGCTGACACCACCATTTGGCCATATAGCCTTGTATTACCTCTCACACCCCATTTTTCCATCTATTGGAGTGGATTGGCTAGCAAGGCGTAAACTTGTGTTTTTGTACCCTGGTGCAGCTTCTATTTGTCTCTCACCAGGGTTCTGACGGTTGCCAAGCCTCCTCTCATGCCGGGTGACTTGCATCTGGCTTCTGCAGGAGTGAAAAGGCCAGAGGCCGATGCCAACGATTATTAATTGATTGAGAGCATCATCCAATGAATGAACCTCTGTGCATAGCATATGGACAGAATTAACTTTATCCAGCAAGGAACTCTCACTCTAAGCTGACTAATGACCCTGCTGGGGGTGGAGTTACAGATATAACAAATTTATGTATGTGCAGCATTTTTTATACACAAACACTGCACATACAGGGTCCTTGCATAAGACCACTTCATAATTTTATAACTTTTCCTCAACATTCGCTGCATCCTTTTTAATGCCTGTTGGCACATGTGCTGCACATATTGTGAGCTGTAACCTAGACTGATTATTAGGGGTTACAAAGAGATGGTCTCGTTTAATGAATACATTCAAACAGAGGGCCCTTCTCGACAAGCTATGGTTAATTCCTGGAATTGTGTCCCAGCAGATGTGGTAATAAGACAGTGACTGTAATGTTGCTTAGAACAGACTATGCAGAATATGTAAAGGGGTCAAGGGTCACATAGTAGTTAGCTTTTACGACAGGTAACAGAAGAGCGAACTGGTTGGGACTGGCATTTGTCATGCACTCTGTAACTGCACGTTTACATGGTTATATGTCCATGCATTGACTGGCACTATGGCACTAACACAGGAACGAATCTGTCACTTCTTTAACTTTGGCCCATTTTAAGGTCTCTGTGGCAATGGAAATGAGTCAGTTCTCTCCTTCGTTTTATTGCTGGTTGATCGTGGCGTGCTTTGGGTTTGAACGCCTGTTGTGTGCAGGGGTCGGGGGATCCATACCATACATGTCCAGGCAAGACAGCTATCCAAAACAAAAAGGCACTTCCATGGCCAAGGGAACTTGTCGGTTCTTGACGCACAGCATGAGGGCATCCTGTTTAAATCATATGGAGCCCCTACAACCTGAGCTGAATCCATCGCACGTCACATGGTATCCAAACATTCTACAAGGGAGAAGGATTCCGCAGGCAACGGTGGCTGCAAGGAACTAGCACTCGGCCGAGGCGATGGAGAGTTATTCAGTTAGGGAATTTAAAATAAATTTAACGAGGGGGTGCGGGGGAATAAAACACATCTTAATTAACCTTTCTGCGCAGGTTATTAAGACACTTAAAATCCAGAGACATCATTTTATTATCAGCTCTGGTGCAGTCAGTATATTCATGCTGTTATTAAATAAGAGGGACATTCCATTTTGGAACAGATCTACTGTTGTGGCAGTTTCAGAATTTTGCACAGGAGCGTTTTGCTCATATCTATAGGTCAGCAACAAAATACATGTCTATAGAAACATATCTCCCTCCCCAATATCTAACAAATCTTGGGGGAAAAAAAGAATTATCTTGCTTTGCTACTGGTGCCCTGTGCCATTCCAAACAAAACAACTATTAATACTCTCATTGTATGCAATAAATAATTACCAAGGCAGGAGTTTAATTGTATATATTGTGTGTAATGGGAAAGCACAAAGATTTATATTAACAAATTAAAATAAGAATCAGTCGTAGCAGTTATCAAGCGATTTACAGGTAACCGCAGCACAGCAGGCGTTCACAGCAAAACACTCACCTGCTGCTTCCTCTGCGCTGCTCGCAGCCGTAGTGGGAGGAGCCACTGGGATCTCTGTCAGGAGTAGTAATGGTGGTTGGAAGAAGAGAAGAATGAGACAATAGAATTATTTTTTTATTTCAAACCTAAAATGAGCACATAAAATATACACAATAAAATGGAAAAATAGATTGTTCTGGTTTCAATTTGGTCTTTTATACAGCTTCCCAGGGTGTACAGACTAACACAACTTTAGGTTTTAGAAACAAAGTATACGCACTATATGTTGCTTTAATCGTTTCTATTTACAAAATCATGCATTATATTTCTTTGTCAGGGATCATAAAAGCAGACTAAGCGATATTCTATAGCTGGATGCAAGCAAGAAACGAATTAAAAATCTAAAGCGAATAAACAAAGGGTCAGAGAGTGAACAGGACAGCGGGCGACAACAGGGATATATCATCAGGATGTGGGCGGTGACCACAAGTTCATTAACAGCGTCTATTGCGAAACGTTTAATTAGTTCTTAATGGACACATTAAGCTTCATTGTGGGTTAAATTGTGAGAATGTTTACCCTTAAAATATGGGGCCTGGTAGAGATAACAGTTTAAACGATCAAAACTTTTATGGCAAAGAAGGATTCATTCTCTCAAAGAAGCCAAGGGTACAAGCTGTGCAGCCCTCTGCTGTCCTTTGGTGACAGATCATTCTCACAGCGAATGAAAATGAAATAGAAAATGTATGAATGACCTTCACATGCCCTCAGCCAAGGGCATTGCCAAGCCTGCTTTAAAAAGCAGGACTAATAAGTTTTTCTTTAAAAAACTAAAAATAAATAAATTACATTTTGGGATTCTGAAGCCCCATCCAACTAAGGTGAGATCACCCTTTTCCACTGAAACACATGTGGTTAGTAAATAGGTGTGTAATACAACAGTGCCATTAATTATGATGCACATCAAAAAGGAAGTCCTGGTAATATTACAGGGGGAGGGGGGCAAATGGAACATTCTCTGCCTCGCTGTCATCGCTTCTGCTCTCTGATGATATATTAAAAGTGAGATTACAGAATTTTGTTGCAGCTATGTTATACTCTAAGGCCTATCACTTAATGTCTATATGGTGACTGTTTGCTTTTTGACATTTTAACAAATGCCTTACAGGTAGCCCATGAGCTGATCTATACTATAACTACTGAAAATGTATTAAACTGTAAATGAAAAAACTAGCCATGTGCACAGATTATTTCTGCTTCTACAGTTTGCTTATCCAGGTTTTCTACATGGATATTTAATTGTTTATAAATACTTGTAGGTGTCCCAACTCTAGTGCAGGCTTTGGGCCTACATAGCAGCACATATAAAATGTATGTGAGGGGGTACGAAGCTGGGATTGAAGATTACGATTGGGGTCACTGGTGTGTTATCAGGGGATTCCTTTTTGAATGCTGCTGCATTTTATGGCACTGCTATGTTAATATCCTCTATGTAATGAGCACCAATACCAATTACACATACTTATGCAGGGGGCAATGGGCGAGCGGCTTTGCTGGTAGCCCTTGGCACATCTATTGCACGTTATGCCTGTCACACCATCTTTGCAAGGACACTGGCCCGTAGTCTGATTACAGGTTTTGCCGGCTGCACCCACCGGATGGCAATCGCAGGCTGCGGGGTGGAACAGACAAGAAGGGTTTGGGAAAACAGCACAAGGTAAGAAGCAAAACAAAACCACAAATACAACATTACAAGGAGACGCAGAGAATTCCGGGGAGCACGGTGAGGGGTCGTGAATGCAGAGAGGATAATGCAGTGTAGGAAGCAGGGAGGGAAGGGAATGTAGAGTTCTCAGATCACCTTGGTTTTGCAGACAACATAGAAATGTTTCATGCTGTGGGCTTGTGCAAGAAAATTGCTTTTGGTGGTATAAAGTATGGACATGCTGCGGGAATCCCCAAGACTGAGCCGTGATTACATAGGATTAATTCTGTAGCGTATGATTGCTACCTACTGTTTTCATACACAGCTCCACAGTAAAAAAAAAACTTCCCGTCCAACAAACCCATTTAGGAACTGATGGTTGAGCAGAGGGCAAGGCTTGGGGAGAGGTATTTGAGGGGAAGGGACACTGGATGGGGATCAGGCTGATGAATTAAGGAACATACAGGGTATACCATGCAAGCCTTCTACAGAAGCAAGTATTAATGATTTCACATTTATTTTCCCTGTCGTGAAGGGTAACCACATAAATTAAACATTTTTACAAAAATTGATCAGGAAAATGCATTTATTGTCACACATTTAGTTTTATGAAAATTACTTTTTGTTTTCAGTAAAAAAAAAAATCAACAACTTTTCATGCACATGAAGAAATTGATATCACAAGGGGAAATGTCAAGACTCCCCCCCCCGAATTCACTGAATCATAATAATGAGTATGAAATACATAGCTATAATGAACTATGTTAAAATAATCCTCCACTATAATTAAGCACCATTATAGCAATCCTGGTCTTTATGTACTTATTAATATAGATCGGTGAAGTTAGGAAATTGGATTTTTTTTTTTATATTTAACTGCACAGCAATAAGTAGAAAGAAGTAAGAAATATTTGAGAATAATAAACAGACCAGGTGTAGAAGATTAGAACCAGGCTGTGATTTAACAATAGAGAAAAGAGAAATGGGGGGGGGGGAATATAGGATAAAGGGGAGAGTGCAGCAAGAGGAGGTAAGAGAACAACATGGGGAGAGACAGGAATGAAAGGATCAACGTGAAGAAGCGAGTGGTGAAAAGATGTATAGCTAGGGTGGTCAGACAGCGAGTATGACTGCGAAAGGGACAGAAATGAGGTAGAGGTACCATGGATTAAGGCTAGGAGGAGGATATATTTTTGAGCATTTGGAGGAATGAATGAGTGCAGAAAACAAGGAAAACAAGAGATAGGGATGGTCCGGGAAAGGGAAAACTGTAGATGTCAGGGGGCGAAAAAAGAAAAAGATGTCGGTAATGGGAGAAGTAATAAAAAGGAAAAGCAGAAGAGGAAATACAGAATGGAGACAAAGATGTCCAAGGTGGGACGCTGGGTAAGATTGCAGAAAGAAAAGTGAGTGGAAAGGATTAACGGTACCTGGTATAGAGGCTGGGGCAGAAAGGAGACAAAGTTGGAAGGAAAAAAAGAGGGAATGGAAAAAGGTTATCTGAAAAATAATACAATTAGGACAAGGGATCGATAAGAGGTGGTGAAAAGTGATGGGGGGAGCAGACAGATTTTTGATCTCCCAGACAGTACATGACATATTATTGGGATGAGTTACTCTCTCCAATTAAATTAGATCATAAAACGTGAGATACTGTTTCCTTATCAGTTAACAGAGCAGACATTTTCTTCCTATCAGACTTTTAAACCCCCTTCCCACCAGGACTAGCTACTGAAAATATTCAGAAGTCATCAATTCATGTCCCTGTCTGAAAACTGGCCTGGAGCAATTTATCCAGTGGAATAAATACACATTAAAGGGCTGGAAAGGAGATCCCCTTAACCCTAGCATTAACCGACCATGTGCAGCTTGTGTTGTTCCAATACATTGCTTAACTCCTCTGGCAATTGTACGGTTAACATATAATTGTAAAGGAATGGGAATGAACCATATGAAGAATTCAAACTGACACAAATGGAATTTTAAAGCATGTATGTTAAAAGTCAAAAGGAAAGTGTTTACAGATTCTTATCCTCTGTGATTCTTTTTTTCTTTTTACATCCAATATATGCCAAGGATTTGTAACACGATTTACGAGCAGTTAAAATACCAAATGAACACGAGGCTCCCTCCGTCACTACACCCTCAGGTCAATATATTTTAGGAGGCGAGCAAGTGATGACAAGACTCCTATAAAGTAAACCAAACTCATTGTAATGACAAATGTGAAAACTCACGAGGTGAGACTGACCATTAAAACATGTCACGGTCATGAATCCACGTTGGTTCTAGGAGAGACTGACTATTAAACATGTCACTGTCATTAGTACACCTTGAGTCTAACAAAGGCTGACCATTAAACAAGTCACTGTCAATGGTACCCCTCTGGCCATTAAATGGTTAAAGCACCTGCCTCACACAGGTGTACATGGGTAGTTATACTGGAAAGCAAAGTATTTCAAAAGAACACCTGGTGTGTCTTTCAGAACATTTGTGTAAAAACTCATTAAAAGGTCACAGTATATATTTATCCCGCAGCGTACAATGCTGTGACAAAATCAGCAAGCTGGCGGTCAGGGGAGGGCCTGGAGGGGTGTGGGGGCACATGTCACCAAGGACAAAACTTTGTAGAATGACATAGTTATTTAAAAAAATGCTGTGCGTCTGTCTGTGCTAAATATAAAATGATTTACATAGGTTAAAAAAACAAAAAAACAAACAAAAAAAACAACCTGCACTGCACAGAGGTGCTATAGATAGGAATCATCTGTTATCCCAACAGGCAAGTGAGACTACAGCTCCCATGATGCTATGTCAGCATTATGGCTGTAAGAGCATTAAAGGACAGGTAGTCCACAACATCTGGAGTTCCAACGGTTGCCTACCCTAGGTCTAGAAGGCACTGGTAACTCTGCATTTAAATAGTTAATATTATCAGGGTTAATTAGTAAACTGGGAACTAATCAGGATACTGCAGAATTTCTGCTAAAATAGGCAGTTGGACCAATTAGGAGTAGAAGCATTTATATAGCAGCAACATATTACACAGGTAGCACAGTTGGAGAATTTTTCCAGTTCGTCTACTGTGGCCTGCTATTTGAATGTCATGGTTAATTCTCAGGGTAATAAATAATCCAAAAAGGATTTCACTAAACTAGGAATTGACCAGTGAATGTCAACTAGCTGGCCAAAATAACCCAGCTGGAAACAGCAGAAACTGACATTTTATTTTGCCTTAGTTCAGCTATTTTCTTTGCCTAAAACTTGTAATTCCCTGATCAGTCCCTAATGGTTCCCAGTTTAGTGAATTTAGAACACGATAGCCATGCAGTATTCCAGAATGTAACAGGCTGTGCCTATGGGTAAATTCATCCTCCAAGCCAAAAACAGCAAAAGGGCAAAGTACATCCATATTATATGTGCTTTACTGATATATATTTCCCACCAGAGAAGCCTTTATCTTAAAAAGTGAATTATAGTGAATTTCTAGCGCATGGGCTGCCTAGGGGTTAATTCGTGAACATTTCAAAGTTCCAGGGGTGTTAAAAGGTATCAGAGGCTTCTGAATGAATGAGGACAAAGGGAATGTAAGGCTGTATAGAAATCAGATTCCACATAATTCCCCTCATCTCCGCACCCCTCTCCTGCATGCAAGAGTCCAGGATGCTTTGTAATAGTTCATGTAATTGGAACTTTCCTGCCTTTTATGAAATCCTTAACCCTTTAAATATCTGGTCACATTTAAATGGGCGCTTAAAAGAACACTCCAAATACATAAAGCACTTTAGCTTTAAGTGCGAAGAGTGTGTCCTTTTTTCATTTTACAAAATGTTCAGTATTCAATAAAAAACTTTACTATAATGAATTAATCTTGTTACACCCCCTTGGCTGTCAATCACACAACCGGTCCTGTTACTTCCTGGTTCTTTTAGCTCAGTGGAGCTAAACTCAATAGGCAGCAAATGCCCAGAGCGCATGCCTTGCAAAGACTTCTCATTGAGCTGTTCTGGACAGTCTGTGATTGGACAGATACAGAAAGTCTGGGCTGGGGAAGAATAGAGAGGGCTCGCAGTAGCTGAACATACTATATATAATATAAGCAGACTGTTATATATCACTAGCTTATAATGTAAAGTCTGAGAATGTATTGTTCTGAATGATGACTTTGGACCTCTTCAGGTCAATATAAAATGTAGGAGTCTGGTTGGCAGTCCAGATGGTAGTATCACTTGGCAAAGCTGGCATCCCTATATATCAGTTCTACCAGTATAGAGGTAGAACGTATACAGTTTCCCATGAATGTTTAGAATATACAGTATTTACGTCCAGACAGACCAGTTTTGCAGTCAATATGCAAGCTGGATGTGACTTGTGGGAACAACCTCATCTTGGAATTGGACGGACAGCACCTGCACCTATCGGTCCCCACCCCCTCCTCCCTGTGTTTGCAAGTGGATTAATCTCTCTTTTCTCTTCCTTCTGTGATGGTTGGAACTCTCTTTCACTCCTTCCTCTCATCTGCTGCCCCACAAACACGTCGGGAACCATTAGTCAAAGCGTCAAGCCTTTGTACAAAATTCTCAGCCCCCCTTTTATACCCCTCCCTGCCTCTGCTCTGCTTAACCTGTTCAATACAACCCACTGTGCCCTGGTATGCACACCTGTGCTGCGGTGGAAGGGGCGGGGGCTAGTACGGGGAATAAGAGACATTAACCTCTTTCTATACTGTTGGAATTTAGAATTTTTGGCACTCAGCTAATCCTGGCTTAAGAATCTGTTGGTAGAATGGGTTAACCCCAGATGTGGCACAGTTTGTCTGCAATATGTTCACAACTCTTGCTATTCCTACTGTACCTTGTCTGAAAATGTGATCTGATCTTTAACCAAGTTCTAATTATATATAAAAAGAATAAAGAACACTTTCTATTGTGTTCATTATAAACAATGATACAGTATTTACTATTTTTAACAGAAAATGACTTGAATCTCAACATTGCCAGGATTATATAATGAAGTGTAAATTGTCTGGATTTCGTGTATTTAGGGTTCAAATTTGAATTTCATCTTGACTTCCTGGCAATTTATACTTTAATCAACTTTTGTCCTTTCCTTTAGTAGTAATGAGATGTTTCCTGGATTTGACTTGGATTTTCCAATAATTAAAGAACCAAGTTCTGCTCGGTTTAATTTCCTAGAAGAAACCTTCAACAGTCTATTGTGCAATTTGCAGCTACAAGCCATATTTAATTGCTCCTTTAATTACCAAAAACTACCTGGTTCCCGGGGGCGGGGCAGGACCGACATGCGGACTAGTCGCCCAAACGAACAGCTCCTGCATTTGGCAAACTTTTGGGCAATAAAACCCTACATCTGGCAATCAGAAACGGCACTTAAACGCACTAAGAGGGGCTAGTACCCAAGCTCTGCCTGCCATAAGGATTGGGCCATTGTCTCACGGACGTCTTTGTGATTACATTGGTAAAGAAAGAAATAACAGGAAAATGTACCAGTCTACCAATTTCTGTATATTCAAAGAACAATACACTACACCTATGTAATCCTTTACAAAAAAAATTAATTTAAAACAGTATTTAAAAATAAATGTAAAGAAATCAGATAGAGTAGGTTTGGGACTATATAATAAAGGTTATCAATGCTACAAATAAGTTCTGTAGGACAACCTACATGTCAAACTCATTCTAACAGGGTGACATACAAGTTCCCTCACCCAAACCAATATATCACCATCACCTTTGTAGGTTGACCTATGTGCTTCTCCCTCTCACCTTGGCAGATCACCCTGTGTTCCTCTCACCTTTGCATGCCTTCCTGTGGGTGATTGGCTTGGTCATGTCCCTGTAATAACCCTCCTTGCAGTAGTGGCAATGCCGGCCAGCTGTGTTGTGCCGGCAGTTAAGACAGACCCCTCCACTCCGGCGTCCTGACAATTTGAACAGCTCCATGTTAAATCGGCATCGGCGAGCATGCAGGTTACAGTTACAGGCTGAGAAAAAGAAAGACACAGAGAAGCTGGTTAGATATGCTGTGCTAACATGGGTTTTACATGCATTGAACATGCCAAGGGGATCATTAATCATCACAGTCAGAGAATGTTAACCCGAGGTTAGTGGTTGGCCCAGGGCAGGGTATAAATTACTCCGTCCACATGTTCCCTTCCCGTTGTTCCATCTCTTTCTGCATCTTCCCAATTACTACCTACATTTCTCGAAAATTCTCACATTCTTGAAAGGCTTTACACAATGCTGATTGCTCACACAAGGCTTAACACAATGAGAAGCTTCAAATTGTGCTACAGAATCTTCACATCATGCTGAATGTGTCGCAGAAAGCTTTATACAATGATCTCGGGATGCTTCATATAGTACTGACTTCTCATAGAAAGCTTCACACAAACGCCCACAGAAAACATTACACAACAAAGACTGTTCACAGAAAACATTACACAATAAAGTCTGTTCACAGAAAACATTACACAACAAAGACTGTTCACAGAAAACGTTACACAATAAAGACTGTTCACAGAAAACGTTACACAAAGTCTGTTCACAAAAACGTTACACAACAAAGAATGTTCATTGAAAATGTTACACAACAAAGACTGTTCACAGAAAATGTTACACAATAAAGACTTCACAGAAAACGTTACACAATAAAGGATGTTCACAGAAAACGTTACACAATAAAGGATGTTCACAGAAAACGTTACACAATAAAGGATGTTCACAGAAAAACGTTACACAATAAAGGCTGTTCACAGAAAACGTTACACATTACAGACTGTTCACAGAACACTTTACACATTGCTGGCAGCTTGTAAGGAGCTTTCCACGTCGCTGACTGCTCCCCATGGTGGTCCAATGCTTACATTAACATGTCTGTGCTTTTAACGTGGACATTTGCACTGTGTTAATGACATAATAGCAGATTGTCCTGTTTACATAATGGTCATAACAGGGGAATAAATGTCAGATAGATAATATAATGAAGGCAATACGGCACTGTCTTATGGAAACAATAGAACACACACACAATGCTCTGATCCAGCATGAAAGGGGTTACTGCATGCACACGACTCCAGCCCTGTATGGTAGTGGTTACTGCACGCATACAGAGCGCCATCATGGAAGGAGTTACTGCACGCATACAGAGTTCCATCATGGAAGGGATTACTGCATGCATACAGAGCTCCATCATGGAAGAGGTTACTGCACGCATACAGAGCTCCATCATGGAAGGGGTTACTGCACGCATACAGAGCTCCATCATGGAAGGAGTTACTGCACGCATACAGAGTTCCATCATGGAAGGGGTTACTGCACGCATACAGAGCTCCATCATGGAAGAGGTTACCGCACGCATACAGAGCTCCATCATGGAAGGGATTACCGCACGCATACAGAGCTCCATCATGGAAGGAGTTACTGCACGCATACAGAGTTCCATCATGGAAGGGGTTACTGCACGCATACAGAGTTCCATCATGGAAGGGGTTACTGCACGCATACAGAGCTCCATCATGGAAGGGGTTACTGCACGCATACAGAGCTCCATCATGGAAGGGGTTACTGCACGCATACAGAGCTCCATCATGGAAGGAGTTACTGCACGCATACAGAGTTCCATCATGGAAGGGGTTACTGCACGCATACAGAGCTCCATCATGGAAGGGGTTACTGCACGCATACAGAGTTCCATCATGGAAGGGGTTACTGCACGCATACAGAGTTCCATCATGGAAGGAGTTACTGCACGCATACAGAGTTCCATCATGGAAGGGGTTACTGCACGCATACAGAGTTCCATCATGGAAGGGGTTACTGCACGCATACAGAGCTCCATCATGGAAGGGGTTACTGCACGCATACAGAGCTCCATCATGGAAGGGGTTACTGCACGCATACAGAGCTCCATCATCATGGAAGGGGTTACTGCACGCATACAGAGTTCCATCATGGAAGGGGTTACTGCACGCATACAGAGCTCCATCATGGAAGGGGTTACTGCACGCATACAGAGCTCCATCATGGAAGGGGTTACTGCATGAATACAGACCTCCATCAAGAGTGATTTTATTGTGCACATAAAAAAAAAGTATAATTCTCAAATCATGGTAGCCTGTATATTTACATGCCAGGAGTGATTTTAAAGTGTAAATAAGATATCTGGCCATAGAGGCATTATTACAATTATACCGCAGTGTGTATGGTAGAAAACCACTAACAGTATTATTTAAGTATAATCCCAAAATATTCATCACCCTTAGTCTCGGGCAGCGTATCGACCAGCTCACCCTCAGTGTCAGGTACTGAAGTGTCCCGCTCAACATCAGTCTCAGGCAACGTATCGACCAGCTCACCCTCTGTGTTGGACAGTGTATTGCCCCGCTCACCCTCAGTGCCGGTTACTGAATTGCCCCGCTCACCCTCAGTGCCCGTTACTGAATTGCCCCACTCACCCTCAGTGTCGGTTACTGAATTGCCCCACTCAATGTCAGTCTCAGGCAGTGTATCGCCCAGCTCACCCTCAGTCTCGGGCAGTGTATTGCCCTTCTTGATAGTTCTGGCTTCCCTGCTTTTCCATGTGATTTGGGTGTATATTGCCCTGCTTTGCCCTCTGACTCTGGCACTGTTTTGCCCTGCTGTGTGCTCTCTGACTCAGGCACTGTTTTGTCCTGCTTTACCCTTTGACTCAGTCACTTTTTTGCCCTGCTCTGCCCTCTGACTCAGGCACTGTTTTGCCCTGCTGTGTGCTGTCTGACTCGGGCACTGTTTTGCCCTGCTCTGCCCTCTGACTCCGGCATTGTTTTCCCCTGCTTTGCCCTCTGACTCTGGCACTGTTTTGCCCTGCTGTGTGCTCTCTGACTCTGGCACTGTTTTGCCCTGCTGTGTGCTCTCTGACTCAGGCACTGTTTTGTCCTGCTTTACCCTCTGACTCCGGCACTGTTTTGCCCTGCTGTGTGCTCTCTGACTCAGGCTCTGTTTTGTCCTGCTTTACCCTCTGACTCCGTCACTGTTTTGCCCTGCTGTGTGCTCTCTGACTCAGGCTCTGTTTTGTCCTGCTTTACCCTCTGACTCCGGCACTGTTTTGCCCTGCTGTGTGCTCTCTGAATCAGGCTCTGTTTTGTCCTGCTTTACCCTCTGACTCAGTCACTTTTTTGCCCTGCTCTGCCCTTTGACTCAGGCACTGTTTTGCCCTGCTGTGTGCTCTTTGACTCGGGCACTGTTTTGCCCTGCTCTGCCCTCTGACTCCGGCACTGTTTTGCCCTGCTGTGTGCTCTCTGACTCAGGCACTGTTTTGCCCTGCTGTGTGCTCTCTGACTCAGGCATGGTTTTGTCCTGCTTTACCCTCTGACTCAGTCACTGTTTTGCCCTGCTGTGTGCTCTCTGACTCAGGCACTGTTTTGCCCTGCTGTGTGCTCTCTGACTCAGGCATTGTTTTGTCCTGCTTTACCCTCTGACTCAGTCACTGTTTTGCCCTGCTGTGTGCTCTCTGACTCGGGCACTGTTTTGCCCTGCTCTGCCCTCTGACTCCGGCACTGTTTTGCCCTGCTGTGTGCTCTCTGACTCATGCACTGTTTTGCCCTGCTGTGTGCTCTCTGACTCAGGCACTGTTTTGCCCTGCTTCGCCCTCTGACTCAGGCACTGTGTTGCCCTGCTTTGCCTCCCCTGGCCGTGTTCCTTGCATGCAATCCTAGGTGTGGGGAATGGAAATCGGAAAGGTCAGAGGCACATTGTGCCAGGTCTGTTGGCACACCAGAGGTGACTCACAGCCAGTGACTGACGCACAGCTTACTGCGTACGATGAATATTTTATATATGCCACGGCCCCTGGACCTAATGCAGCAACACGCACTGCTGATTCTTATAATACTGGCACAGAGAAAACGACCAGAAGCCTGTGTAATAAATGTGTGCCCTTATGTTTGCTTTGACTTTTAAATCACAAAATTGTCATTCCATTCTGGGGGATATTAATTTCTTCTAGATCTGGGGCAGGCAGAAGTCCGAATTATTGTGTTTTTAGACTTGTTTCTAAGTGTAGATCGAAATTGGCGTCTAAAGGTTAATACAGCAATCCAAACTGAACACAAGTACGGCAGCCACACTGACATTCAGATACTGACTCATTGATCATTTTATAATTACAAGTTACCATGCAGGCAACGTCGCAATAGTCTGACCTGCAGCACATTCTGCGTGCAGCAAAGGATAGGATGCTCTGTGTGTCTGAAGAGACCAAGAAGATGGGTCAGACTGGAGGGGAGAGAAAAGTAGAATAATAGATAAATAGGCAGGGACAAGGTGCAGAGTGGATAGGGTAAGCAGAGATGGGCAGGGGCAGAAAAGTTGAGAGAGCGACAAATGTGCAAGGAGATGGAGGCATGATGATGGAAACAGGGTAGGATGATGGAGATAAATGGGGGTAGAATGATTGAGATGGGGGAAGATGATTGAGACGGGGGTAGGGCGATGGTGACGGGGGCAGAACAATGGATACTGGGTAGAATGATATAGAGAGAGTGGGAAGTACAGAGGAGGGAGAGAGAGAGAAGGGAGATAAAACTGGGTGGAATAGAGGATAAAGTAAGGTGGAATTGGGTACGAGGCAGAACGGAGGGAAAAGAGAGGCTGACAATGAAACTGGGTGAAATGGTTGAGAGAAATGCAATGATGTGGCTTGGAATAAAAGAGGAAGAGAGACAGGGCAGGGTGATTTCACAGAATGGGGAAGATGGGGAAATACTGTGCTTTGTTTTATATATACACATATATACACACACACACACACAGTGGCATACCTACCACGGTACCACGACATCTGCGACCATGGGCTGCCTGGATACCCCCAGGTGTCTGACATGAGGGGAGAGCTGTGCTGCTCCCCTCCTGCCTGTGTGTAGCGTGGCCGAGTGGGCTGTCAGGAAGTGCTCACTAAGAGAGCACTTCCTGTCACACCGGGATGCAGCCCTACATGTTCCTCCTGTCATAGGGGGGCCCGGTGTGAAGCTGTGTTCCCGATAGAGACGGCAAGGGAGCTGTGTTCTCCCTGCTCTGCTCCCTCGCACGCCGCTTGCTGATGCCGGGAGCCGGAATATGACGTCATATTCCGGCTCCCTGCATCAATAGACAGCCTACGCAGCGCCCTCCTCACTGAAGCCCCACTGGACCCCAGGGACAGATGCACAGCAGCTCTCCAGGTAGAGAAGCTGGCTGGACATTTTAAAATTTTTAAAATATGAATAATTTGTGTGTGTGTCTGAGTGTATGTGTGTGTCTCTGTGAGTGTATGTGTGTGTGTCTGAGTGTGTGTGCCAGTTAGTGCATATGTGTCTCTGTGTATGTGTGTCTGTATGTATGGTTCTCTGTGTAAGTGTGTGTGTGTGTCTGCATGTGTATCTGTATGGCTGCATGTGTGTGTGAGGGGGTGAGGACGTATGGGGGGGGCCTAGGGCAATTTTCACACCGGGGCCCTGTGGTTTCTAGTTACGCCTCTGTATATATAGATCCATTAGAACATTTACTTTTGGATATAAGTATGGAGTGCTTCCCTTTTAGGGCCAGAGTAAGGCTTAAGACGTTTAATTAAATAAACCTTCCAGGGTCAGGTGATGTTTTTGCGGCACGGTGCAGGTTCAGCTAGTAAAGATTACGTTGATGCATTCCAGGATGAAAATGTCATATATTCAGAAAGCAGAAAATTGTTTTTGGGACCCGTGAAACAGAGAAGGCGTAATGTTTAGGTTTCTCTGCTCGAACCAAAATGTGTTTTAAATCTAATCTATCATCAACGTGTTGTATAATAATATTTTCTTTTAAATACAGCAGAGAGAGTCGTGTGGTCCTATTTCTGTTTTCTTTTTCTACCCAATTTGCATGAAAATCTTGGTTTCAGACAGTTGCATTCTTTGAATAAAGTTCTGCTGGTTATTTCATGTACAAGGCCTTGATCACAAGAATGATTGGATAGTATTATCAATGTTTTACTCTATAGTTCTCTATGGGTGGGGAATTAAATCAGGCAGATTAGAACCGTATTTTCTTAATTTCTTTCTTTAAAACCCCTTCAGCAGCTTACCTTAATCCAGCGCCGGGCTCCCTTGGCGCTGGTGACCTCTCTTCCCCCGCCGACGCCAGCTCCCCCGTCTGACGTCAGCGGAGCCGAATGCGCGGCAAGTCTCAATGCTTTCCTATGGACGCTGTGCACGATGGAGGAAAAATTGCAGATGCGCCTCTAGTGGCTGTCCGGAAGACAGCCACTAGAGGCTGGATTAACCCCAAATGTCAACATAGCAGTTTCTGTGAAACTGCTATGTTTGCATCTGAAGGGTTAAAACCTGAGGGACCTAGCACCCAGACCATTTCATTGAGCTGAAGTGGTCTGGATGACTATAGTGTACCTTTAACTATAGATACATATTGACAGCCAATCTAACCTAAATCTTATACCGCCATTATTCACTGTGACATGATTATCAGGTGTCCAGAGTTTATCTCAGGGAGGACTCTAACAGAATTCTCTGTTTAATTAGCCATAGAGCCATATTGTCACTTACTATGACTGTTATGGTGGCACAGACCAAGCACCTATCACCCAGCTCACATAGACATGGGGTGCTAGCACTTATCCATAACATGTTAAAGAATGAAGGGGGTGATTAATAATGGTATAGTGCTCAAGTAATTGTGTTAAAGCAAAGCAATCACCACTTTTGGAACTTTGCATCAAATTTAGAAACATGTTTTGGTTCTTTTGAACTTTTTACCCAGCTCTGCATAAGTTATCAAACAAATGTATTCTAGATGCAAATTCTAAATATAAACCAGAATTGTTAACAGCCGGTAAAATCAGATTATAGTCGTTGCCTTGCCTGTTGTATAATGTGAGACCCTATCACTGTAAAACTCATTAAAGTATTAAATCTCTCTAATCTCCATCAACCCCTTCTGCCTCAACTGGGATTAACTTTCCTAGAAAAATGATGGCCAAAAGGTAGATCTCCAGCTGTTTTAGAACTCCAACTCCCATGGTGCTTTGTCAACCTTAAAGGGTTGCTTACAAACACTGTAAGCACTATAAGCACTTAATCTCATTGAACTGGTTATACTACTAGAGCCCTCCGGTGCCGTCTCCTCCATTTTTGACACACACTAAATAAGGTTCAATGGCTATCCACACACCAGCAATCGGTCAGCTGACACTCTTAGCAAAAAACAGCCAATCATTGTTCTGCATTATGTGTGTGAGAGCATTAAGAGAGATGTAGTCCACAAGATCTGGAGTGCCGAAGGCCACCAATCTCTTAGCTAATGCTTTCTCATAGAGGGGATGGGGTGCTGGGGACATTAGAAACACTAGTTTAATGCTGAAAGGAACGACCGCGCCAGGGGACTCCAGACACTATAACCACTTTAATAAGATCAAGTTCTGGTGCTGATAGCGTCCCTTTTAAGTTAGCAAGGCATCATAGGAATTCTAGTTTTACAATTACTGGGGATCTAACTTGTTGCCTTCCCTGTCCCAGAAACTACATCTATTTTATTATACTAGTATCTTCATACAATTTAGTACTGATGGTCGATGACTTTCTGATCTGGAAACGGCACACATATATACTGCTAAATTTGCCATTCATGACTAAATAGTAACTGTTCTGCAAATAAAAACCCTGTACGTACTTTACCTTTTGAGTAATGATTAAAAAAATCTGACATCTGGAAGCAAAGCCACCTATATGTACTATATTTGGTAGTAATGGCCACCCCTCTCTATAGGTTAAGCTAAATCTGGTATGATAAATACATAGTAAAGATTTCTATAAGTACAAAGTTTGGAAGTGATGGTGAATTAATCGCAGAGCAGGAAGTAATGCCCACATTATGTACTGCTCTTCGTACAGGGGTGCATGTTGTGTAGGACGCCTGCTATAGAGAGTATTTGTCAGGAATGTGTGGTATCATGTCCACAGACATATACTCTCTGTCACAACAAGCAGCACCACATAAGCCTGGGTGATGGCACCTGACAAGGGTAGAAAAGAGGTGAGGAAAACAAGAGAAGCCAAGGGAGGGAGGGGGCACCTCTAGTGTTGATAAGCTGCTGAGTGAGGGATTGTCTCGAAAAATAGAGAGGGTGTCAGAGAAAAGGACATTCCATGATGGATGTTCTTCAATGTGTCAATGGTAGGGGGTGGGTTTACAGACTGCATGGTACTACGGCTTGTAACCCTTTGGCAGCCGAAATTGATTTACAATTTGTGCAAACCCTACCTTAATTTGTAGATATCTTCCCAATATAGCCAATATGTTCTACTTGGTAATTCTCCACTTTGTTAATCATACAGATTTATTTATCATAGATATTTTTTTTTCTGGGCATTTTGAGCCTTCTGGAATACTCAAGGTTAAAACTATGTATATATTGTCCTAAAAGGCTTTAATGAAATCTACAATAAATTTCACTTTTAATCAGAATTAGATTTTTGACGGACTAATGCTACAAATTGCACAGAAGTGCAATTATTCTATCTCCGTAAAATAAAACCAAATTCAATGTCCCAACAGACAAGAAATAAAAAGACCCCCTTTAAAAACCAATAATTTGTCATCTAACCTATACAAATTCTCCCATAAATGTAAACGAAAAAAGGATCGAGACACGCAAGAGATATTGGGGACAATTTACCAAAGTGGTCTGTTCTAAAAAGGTGTAGCAATCACCATGGAAATCAGTGGAACCAGCCGGCAAATTCAATTAGCGATTCCCCTTTTACATTTTTGCACAATGTTTTAGAACACAACATTTGACTGATCTCCCCCATTGTTAAAAACCCCCCCCCACAAAAAACAACCAGAAACAAACATCTAAAGCCACTATAGCTACAGGTATCTCATAAATATATCTTGCTCTCCAGGTAAATCATGAAAATAGGATGCAAAACTCTGGCTACTCTTGTTGTAGACTTTCGATTGAGATTTCAGATTGGGCACATTTTAGATCAAAAACCTACATAATTATCCCTGATTATCACAAAAAAAATTGGTATAGTACCCTATCTGCAAAAAGTGGCAAATCCACAAAGACTGTCGTGGAACTTAATCTTGAATATATGGTTTGTCTGTAGAATGTTATTGTGTTTTCAAACCTCGTGTCCCCACATGGACCCTGGTTCACTGCCTGCTCTCCTCCAGAATGGCCAAATTCCAGTCTCTGTAATACAAACCCAGCATCGATTCCCAAAAGAGCAGAGATTTTTTACTGTAAAATGCCATCCCATAAATCATCCCAGTCATGTTTAATGTCAGGGATTGCTCACTCTGCAGCCTGTGATGTGGTTTCAGGTTTAGCAGTCTTCCCTACGAGTGTAAAACACACATAAAGTGTCCACACCAAATGAAAAACACTTGGCGACTGGGCATCATTTGCTTTATCACCTTAGAACCATATGTGTGAGGGGTTGTTTACACTGTTAAATTGTGTACATACATACACTAAGAGGGTCAGGACCTGCGGTTATCTTGTGATTAACACTTCAGTTACTTGGAAGCAGTAAAAAGGATTAAATGCCAATTACCCTAACCCTTTGTTGGAGCAGGTCCTGGGGGGTCCTTTAGTAACTGGCCATCATAAGTATTACAATTGGACTTATTTTCACCTTTTTAGCTCTGCGATTTAGGAAATGGAGCATTTTGTTGTCGAATGTCTTATTTTCTGTTAAAAGAATACTAGCTAGGTCTGGTTTTTACAAACCTGAAAATATTTATACATGTAATATCTGTCCAAACAGCCTGTCGTGCAATGGGTACAGGGTGTTCAGCAAGCTCACATTTCCCTCTCTATATCTTGAAAAAGTTATAATAACGGTTGCCTATCTGAATAATAAACTGATCTGTCCTTAATCGTGTCCAGCAAGGCAGAAGATCTGTGACATCCAGGACTGGTTATTCAGAAGAACAGACAATTGACACTTTGAAGAAACAAAGAGAGAACATCTGATATCTATAAACACTTAGTACATAAGGCGAGAGAGCACATGAGGACTTCAGCAGACTGTATACACGTTATCTAGAACTTGCTGTACACCTGAAGAGAGAAATAAACATACTAGTTCCATGCTCTTATTGTATCGCACATGTTATGGAATTAGAACCGTAATTCCACGAGCGCACGTTACCACTACTCAAGGATTTACTTGAAAAGTAATACAAATATTTATTTCCTTGCTTTTTTGTTAAAGGAACACTATAGCGTTAAGAATACAAAACTGTATTCCTAAAGTTATAGTGTCCCTTTTTTCACTTACCTGTTTCACTTAGACCTCTTCCCCCGTAGGATAGCATCGAATCAATGCTTTCCTATGGGGATTTTGAAGACGCTGGACGTCATGAGGACATCCAACATCGTTTCACAAAGTTAAACTCTGTGAAAATTCAGTGTTTCACATTTCAGGGTTATTGGGACAGGGACACTCCACCCAATGAGATGAAGTGGTCTGGGTGACTTTAATGTCCCTTTAACAAAGTGGTTCCTGAAATCTAAGACAAATAAACTCATCCAAAATAAATATAATTATTTTAAACGTTTGAATGTTCCTTTAAAGCATTTTATGATAGATAGGAAACCTTCCCATCCCTACAGAATTAATTTTAGTAACAATGTTCCCCAAATGTGCCTTGTTACAGTATAAGAATTATACAAGAATCCAGTCAGTCCCTGTGGGAGTGCCCGGCGCGTATATCCAATTTATTTAAGGTTCAGTTACAGCGCTGTAATGTTTATCTTGATTCCATTTTCTTTTATTTTTCTTACGGGGCCAAGATTTATTTATTTTTTTCCGTAATGTCTTTTTTCAGAGACAGCTTAACTCCAGTAAAGAAATTTACTGGTTAATGTTACGTTTTCAGGGCAAGGCAAATTGCTTTCCCAAATATTTAACACTCGATATACAGTTTTAGACTGCAGCATCAAGCTGTTATTTGGACGTTCCCTGATGCAAGAATATACAATTGAAGTAGGCAGGGACTGAATGCTGTCCTTTTCTATATTCCATCTATTTCAGTTTAATATGACTTGAACTGCCAAATGATAAATCTTTCAAAAGCTTGATTAGGATTTCTATAGTCAACAGGAACGAATGATGAAGTGCTAAAAATGGAGCAATCACCATGGAAACAGAATGTTCTTGCCGATTGCTCCACTTTTAGAACTTTGCTCTGCTACTTAGAAGAGTTTCAAACCACAGCTCCCTATATATACTACTAGACAAATGGGGTGAACTTGTGTCATAGCAGACGGTAGAAGGGTGTAAGGCCACTGCCCACAATAAATAGATTACTGTAGTGACCTTCCCCTGAGCAATGGAGACAATCAAAGGAGTCCCATGAAGAACTTTGCAGAAGGTAGTTTAGCATAAAACTGAACGGGTATTACTCAACAAATGGGAATTGAAGAATCGGTCATCTAGCAGATAGCATGAACATTATTTGATTCCCAATGAAAAATTTTAAGAACCATTGCTTTAGTGGCCAACTGTTATATAAGAACCGTGGAAGTGGGAACTCTACAATAAAGTTCACCCCTTAGCCACCCTGCTTTAAAGTCCTAATTAGGTTGGGTTTTCATTAATTTTGCAGCTTGGCCTGGACACGCTCAGGTTACGTGCGGCATTACCCATCTAATAAACATCTTCTTTGTCAACTGTACTAGGAATTTGGAAAATAATGCCTGCCCCTTCAAAGCTGCTTGGCACAGTGATTACTGTGGGCATACCTACCAGTTATTTCACGGTTCTGTGGTGTATATTAGGTAGGAGCCAAATGCCGATCTACAGCTGGCGTAAAACAGAGACGTAGAATGGGACGCAGTGTCATGCTTGCTAAAATGGGAATTTCCCTGATTAAACTGGCATAGCCCACTTTGCTACGAAATATCTTAATCTGTGCACTTCCTAATTCTGTTTGTTAGGAGTGTAGTGATCACCAGGTTTTAGTACAAGGCTACTTTTATTTACATTGTGCGCTTTTTAATAAGTACTTCATTAATAGTATTGGAATGCTGAAGTGTTTGTTACAACTTACTTATATATACAGGCTTCCACTGTCCTGTCTCCATATTCAACCCTGGTTTTATCCCAATGTGTTTTAACTGCCACCAGCCAGAAGGCCTATAGGACATCATGGGGAATATAGTCATTTGCATTAGGAATTGTGGAGACTATCTACTCTTTCTGTAAATCTTTGGAAAGCTAGAATTGCTCCGCGTTTACCGCTCTGTTTTTCTAACTCTTACATGAATTTTGAATTTCAAAGCATGGGCGATGGGTATTGTTCATCAGGGGGAGCTGACATCCTATTAAAATCAGGGCAATACCTAGCAACAGCAATATAATGTTGTAGGTTCTTCACCCCCACACGCTTACTATTATGAATGACAGCTAGGCTAAACTAGGACACTGCCTAGGACAACAGGTCAACCAGATGTCTGTTACCCCAAAGTAGTTGGCCCACACGTACAACAGCTTTTCATCTGTTGCTTCGTTGTCGGTAGTTTATCGGTCAATGGAGTAAAGAGCAGAGGTTTGCATAGCCACTCTTATCAGGCTAGTGCACAGATTTCTTTCTTTATGCAAGTGCAACCGCTATGTGTTACTACTGCATAACACAATACTGCTCAACATCAACAGTGATTACCTCGGATGATTACAAAAAAGAAAAATCACAAAACAGGCTAAACTCACTTATAGGCTTATAAACACAACCCACTTCTTTGTCCCAAGCAGCACGTGCCAAGGCTGCTAATTACCAAATTGTCTTCTCTTTTGCTTAAACCAGGAAAACCCCGCTTAACAAAAAGTACACTCATTGCCTTGGGTTGGAGAATAGAATTTAACAAAGGATTATTTCAATGCGGTTTGGCTTGCTTATGTTAAAATAAGGGATGTATCAACTGAAATACCAGATTATATAGGGTAATTAGTAAATAGAGGAATTAGTTTCATTAAATGTTCAAAAAAAGAGAATTATTTGGGACATAATTGCCATCACCTATCCAAGAGCTACATTTTCCGATGTACAAACAGCTTATTGTTCCAGACACAAATGAATAATAAGATCAAAATAAACCAACAAGTACAAGAGGAATCCCCCTAAAAATATATGGGATAATTTTTTTTCTTACGGAAGAGATCCCATAAAAGTCTATATTTCTGTGCAAAGAGCAGCTGTATAATTTATTTTAGGAAGTGATTCGCTTTTACTCTATATGTACAGACCAGTTTTACTAGAGAGGAACCTATCAGAGTCTAATTGCACTGACTATTTGTTTATATGTACAGACTATTTCTTGTAGACGGGAATCCATTATAGTCTAAATCAGGGGTTCTCAACCCAGTCCTCAAGGACCCACTACCAGTCCAGGATTTAGGGATTACCTGGGTGTATCTAAGGTGTTTTTTTTCACTAAACACCTTAGACACACCCAGGTAATCCCAAAATCCTGGACTGGTAGGGGGTCCTTGAGGACTGGGTTGAGAACCCCTGGTCTAAACGGAAACACCATTCCTTGTAGACGGGAAACCATAATAGTTTGCATGGACATGCCATTTTTTGTAGACTGGAGCTCATACTTTTATATTGACATATCATGGCTTTTTGATGGGAACCCATTAAAGTCTATATGAGCACACCACTTCTTCTACACTGCAAAAAATTATAAACGCAACATTTTTATTTTTTGTTTTTAAGGCACACCTGTGCAATAATAATGCTGTCTAATCAGCATCTTGATATGCCACACCTGTGAGGTGGATGGATTATCTCGGCAAAGGAGAAGTGCTGCCTAACACAGATTTAAACAGATTTGGGAACAATATTTGAGAGAAATATGCCTTTTGTGTACACAGAAAAAGTCTTAGATCTTTGAGTTCAGCTCATGAAAAATGGGGGCAAAAACAAAGGTGTCGCGTTTATCATTTTGTTCAGTGTAGATGGGAACCCATCATGGTCTATATGGACATACCATTTCTTGTAGACGGGAACCCATAATAGTTTGTATGGATATACCATTTCCTGTAGAAAGGGACCAATGATAATCTATATTTACACCCCAATACTAGAGAACCCATGATAGTTTATATAGAAAGACCATGGAAAGGCCTATGATAGTCAACATGCACAGTTTGCAAAAGTGAACTCATGACCGTCTATTTCTTGTATAGAGGTTTCCATGATTGTTTAATTTTTTTCCATACATACGATTGGCTTGTGCACACTGCATTTGTGTAAAATGCCTTAACATTAGTGAATCGTTCCAGTAAATGCATGGTTCAGTAAGGAATTCATTGCTTTAGTGATTGTCCTGACATCTCATTTGTTTTGTCTGTCTGCAAGTTTCGTAACGTGTGTCTGGTTAATGGGTATCACCTCTGTCAGCGTTGATTACCACCATGACATTATACTAAGGAATTACGAAGAAAGACAAGAGGTCATGGGCTCAATCCATGAAATCGAAGATGAGATCCTCCCTCACTATATACATATTTATTTATTTAAAAGTTTTAAACAACATGCCAGGCATTAAAAGTTATTTGCCACTGCAAGCCTGGAGAGTCATTCGCAGTGGTGAATTACTGCTCAAAACCGTTCATGTAGCATTCGAATTGGCTTCTGGCCTTGTCTTTTACATGATGGCATGATTTTGGTGATATAGATATCAACTGCTTAGCTCACCTCAAGGCGTGCGAATTTCCAAAACCTGGTGGGAGTCTGCAAGACGTGGCACACCAGGGAAGTTATCCAGAATTGTCCCTTTGGATCAATTTGTAGGTATTGAACCAGAGGAAGATTTGTAAAGATAAATGGAATGAAATCTGATAGATGAATCTTCAATGGAAGAACCACCAAGTTCAGGGGAATGCGGTCAAAGTGCACAAAATGGAATCTTAAAGATACTGCTGCATATAAATAAAAGCCAGGTCTGCCAAAACTTAACTGTCTTGGCTAGCACGAAGGATACAGTTTCTCATATAAGTACCAGGACATTTCCACATTCTGCTGTGTTACAACCTGGAGTTAAAGTGGATTTTACCAAGTCAATACTCATTAGAGTACTCATTAGAGTTGTGAGGTTTAGGGGGTAAATCTATACCAGCTTTCTTCTACATAAAGGCACTCAAGCTTTATGTTCGGTGAGGACCAATTGGTGAAGAGCAATTTCCAAGTACTTCCACAGGCTCTGGATTGGGTTAGTGTCTGGGCTTTGAGAGTGGAATTGTACATTATTCTCTGGATTCTTGTTTTAAACCAACCCAGTGTAGCTTTGGATGCTTCTCCAGTCAACTTACTATGTGACTTCTTAGGTCAATCTGTTTCACGACAACTTGTTTAGGGAGTTTCAAAGCAATAAAGGCAGATAATGTATTCAACTAATTCAACCAAATGTCTCTTTTTTTTGTTATTTGTAAAAAGTACCTAGGGGTTTTCTATTGGCCAAATACTGCTGTCAGATTGTAGTCTATATTTTGGGCAGTTATGTCTCAGAAAGACAATTTTATAAGAAAAGGTCCCTGAATAAACGGGTCATGGACAGCGAGTCTTAGCAGCACATATGTTTGTGAATTACCTTCCCCATGAAGCTGAGCCAGCCAAGTCTTGCCTCTTTGAAAAAATGTGACAGTTCACATGTCATCCAATTAGATGCAGGTCTCGATGGCACCAGGTAAAATAGGTAGAGAACATCTAAAAGCACACTACCTGCTAAACAGGGACAGCCAGTAAAAACAAACACAAGGCTTTGTTTTGCAGTGATCGCTTCTTACACAAACACTTTCTCAGTGAAGAATAGCCTGGCTCGGTCTCGAATTTCCATGAGGGGCGTAGGGATTGGCTCCCCCCCACCTTTCTCTATTTACACCTGGTCTTAACCCGTTTCAGGAGGAGAGAGGTCATTCTGGTTTAAACAAATATATGAGCTCTGAAGGTGTGAATATGCTGACTGCTTAACAAAACATCAAGGGCCCCCAGACAACATCTTACAGCTCCAGCTAATTAACTCTACAGCTGCCTCTGGAGACCCTGAGAGGCAATCTCATACCCTCTCACATTAACCTCTTCGGTGCCAGAGGCACTTGTACAGACCCTTGACCTTTTAAGGACGTGGTGGCTAATTCCGGCACCCCAGATGTTTGGGAACGTACATTGCCCATAATGCACAGCCAGCCATTGACTCACAAATACCTGGTGTGCCACAGTATGCCAACACTGCTGTAAAAGGTTCATAGCTGAAGTGTTGTCTCTTGACTACGACCCCCAAGCCACCGTACGATGGCCGTAAATATGCCACGATCCAGACTGGAAACGTGATTTTACACCAAAGAGCTTGCAATCTATGTATTGGTCATTTTGTGTACACAGATAAAGTAAATGTTATTTATTTTTGGGGGATGGTTGTAGCATTAATGTCATTCTTTAATATAATTTCACCAAGTAAAGACAGAAGCATAACAAGTAAACAGAGGGAACATGAGGGAAACGCACTTCCGACTATAAAAAGCTCATGAAAACTAAATAAAACAGTTTGTAATGGTCGCTGAGGACCAGCAAATTTGGTTTTACAATACTATCAACCCTTAAAATGAGCTCACTCCTGTAAAAAAAATCCCAAAGTGTAAGGGAACCAAAAGATTGTGTAGGGGAAACAAAGTATATAAAACCTCAACTGTAATTTATCCTTTTTTTTTAATTTAATTTTTTTATTAAATGTGCCACAAAGAACAATTAACATAATTTCAAGGACGGATAACACATTAAAATTATTATAGAATTATAAAATTACTATTATAGGCTGCTTTAGAACAGCATACTATTCAGACCCCGACTGAAGAGAAGTAGTGTTCACAGTAAGAATAGTCCCAGTAGAGGTGGTGATCTGCAATAAATCAGTAAAAATAGAAAAGGCCTGGGATTGGCTATAAACCGTAGATTAACTATAAAATGAAGGGTTTGTTTTTTCCCCTAAAGATAGAAATATGAGGATAGTTTACATTTGACAATTCTTGTTGAAGTTAAGGTTTCTGTCGAGATTTTTTAATTCTGTGTTTTTTGTATTTTTTTTTTTGTATGAGGCACAATATGCAGGCGTTAAATTGTGTACAGAATCTCGAACCATCATCCTGTACAGCACACTGCGTGATATCTACAGGCCAGGAAAGCCCAGTAAGAGCTTGATCCTGCATTAATGTCAGAGACTTTGTTAGACAAACATGAGGTAAACCACTAAATCCCATAGAAAAACCGCTTTCTGAAGAATTTGGCGCGTCTCCCTCCACCTGCTTGGAGAACCACAGGCCGGAAGCTGCGGGGTTAACCTCTGTAAGGCTTGGAGAGAGGCCTAGGCCCTTGGGGATCGCTGTATTAAGAATACATGGGGTAAAGAAATTAGATCACTGCCCTGTTACTAAGATCATCGATGCCCAGTCCTCAAGCTGGGTAAAACTCAAATCACCCCCAGCCAGACACAGCGTGATTTCCAAAATCTATCATTTCTAGAAGGGGTAGAGGCTGGATTACTCAATAAGCAGTGTAATGTAGCAAGTTACAAAATGTAAGACAAACTTCAAAATCCTTGTCCCCATTTGATTTGTAATCGTTAAAACGTTATCAGTAGATCTTTATGACTCAATGAACAATTACCCTGTCGACGGTCAAACTATCGGTTCTGTAATAATGATGAGCTGAGCAATGCATTTTGAATCTCTACTGCCCTTTTGGTGGTATCAGTCTGACATAGCAAATGGTTTACATTCTCTCTGTAATGGCACAAAATAAGCTAAAGTCAGCTTGAGGATTGGGTAGGGACCCAGCGAAGGGCAAGCTATTTCAGCTGATGTCCATTCTCAATATTCTATTGCGATCTGTTTATTTCCTCTCCCTAAGTTAAAATGGCAATCCAGCCATGAACTCTTTGCTCACTGTGCCTAGAAGGGTATCGGCTATAACTCACTGATGATGACCAAAGAACACTGAAACGATCACCTGCGTTTACTGCATCTTCTCTTTATAATGGCACAAGATGAGCTAAAACCGGCATGACAACTGTGTGGGGACCCACCAAAGGGCAAGCCATTTTCGTGGTTGACCATTCTCAGTATTCTCTTGCACCCTCATTTTTACTCTGTTAAACTACTTTATGTTTTCTTAAAGGACCACTATAGTGCCAAGAAAACATACTCGTTTTCCTGGCACTATAGTGCCCTGAGGGTGCCCCCACCCTCAGGGTTCCCCTCCCGCCCGGCTCTGGAAGGGGGAAAGGGGTAAAAACTTACCTTTTTCCAGCGCTGGGCGGGGAGCTCTCCTCCTCCGTTCCTCCTCCTGGGCTGAATGCGCACGCGCGGCAAGAGCTGCGCGCGCATTCAGCCGGTCACATAGGAAAGCATTCATAATACTTTCCTATGGACGCTGGCGTGCTCTCACTGTGAAAATCACAGTGAGAAGCACGCAAGGGCCTCTAGTGGCTGTCAATGAGACAGCCACTAGAGGAAATAGGGGAAGGCTTAATACATTCATAAACATAGCAGTTCTCTGAAACTGCTATGTTTATGAAAAAATGGGTTAATCCTAGCTAGACCTGGCACCCAGATCACTTCATTAAGCTGAAGTGGTCTGGGTGCCTAGAGTGGTCCTTTAAATTATTTATTTGATATACAGTTTTCCGAGTTGATATACTGTAATGTAATGTGCATTGTCTATTCCCAAACCTTAAATAAAAAGTTTTAGAGTACACATAATGGACAAGATATTCAGATTGGGGTTGCCGATCCCACCAGTTACATGTATTTGCATTGACCAGTGAGACAATTTCATGCCAGGAAACTGCAATGTGTTTAATCGCATGTCAGCTTTAAAATCTCACAATGTACCACTAATCCACACCACCACTTTGAAATTCTGCAAAGAAGTGAAATTGCAAGTTGGTTTTAAGCAAACACTGGTAAATAATAAGCAGCTTTACTCAGCGTTTCAACAAAAAGGTCTAATTTGGTGTACATGTCTTATTGGGTAACAGGAGACTAAATGAATGCTTAGTAGAAAGAGATAGTTTGTAATGGTAAGAGAGATAAAGAAAACAAAAAAATAGGAACATGTGGGAAGACAAGTGAGGATGGTATGGTGGTTTAGGTGGAGAAAAACATGCGAGGAAAGAAGGATAAAATTATAAAAATGGGAGGACAAGAAAAGACAAAAGGAAACTGTCCAAACTATTAGAAGGACAACAATGCATATATCTTGAAAAGTAGATGGAAATATACAGTCTACTGGAAAATAAATAGTAAGGGTGGAGGAGAAAAGGGTTGATCAAGAACTCAAAGGGTTGAGACAGGGGTCAGGAAAAAGAGTAGGAACGGAATAAAGTAGATAAAAATTACAAGCAACGAGTAGAATAAAATTTAGCACAGGACCCCTGGACCGAGGTGATAAATAAACATAAAAAGCAAACAATAGAAAGAAAGAGAAAGACAGGATGGACAAAGAGAGGGAGATGGTTAGCGACAGTGGGAAGTCCGAGGGGAAAAAAGTAAGAAATTAGAACAGAACTCAATATCAGAATGACTAGAACTAGAGGCAGGGCTGAGATTTCCATCCATAAACATGTGTCCAAGTTATAATCATCTTGATTGTTTTGTCACGACCCAAAATAAAAGCAGAATACATTAGAGCAGCTAGCCCCCCCTTCCCATCTCCCCACACTCAGTGTTCAGACCGTTTCCTTAAATTTGTTGACAACACAAACCCTTTCCGACTCATGCCAAACTCTTGAGAAAGCAGGAAGCTGGGTTTGGCAGAGCTTACAGACTGACTTGTACAGGTTAATCTGATTTGAGGGGAAAACTAATTGCCTTGGACTGTGTCCGTAAAACATTTTTGACATATTTCTGTATCTTTTTTTTTGTCCTTTTTTTTTCCAGCTCCTTTGTTTCTGCTCTCAGATTTTAATATCATTTAAAAAAAACACAACTTCCGACCTAAGATATTTGAGCTTAAATCCGGAATATTGACCACTTGACTCGAGTGGCTCGGAAGTGCCTAATGAAACGATTGGTTTTCTTCTGATCCTTGCATACACTCAGGATAGGACATCAGAAGGTCTAAGGCATCTGCTGGCTTAGTGAAAATGCCTAAATGCCTTCCTGTTGGACTGGGCTTTTGTGGCACTCAAATGTGTCAATGGACATCAACAGCCACTGCTGGATAAGAAAAATAGGAATAGCTGTTTAAAAGGCTCTAGTGGACTTGGCAGTTATTGAAGAATATTTTCGGATAGAGAGGGAGAAAGATCCTTCCCCGGTCACTCGAGGAAAACTAACAGAAATCCTTAAAAAGACCATCTGAGGTTGCACATATTCTTACAGCTTGTAAATCTCAAAGAGGTGTGAGTGTAGTTAGTTTGCAAAAATATTTGCTAAATCTAGGTTACTTTTATTTATTTATTTTAAATGCATGAACCATCTCGTTCCTGGAATGGGTGGCAGTCCATTGGGAAGCATGTTGCCTGCAGCTGTCCCATAAGACCTCCTAGGCAAGCAAAACTAAGCCAAAATGGGCACCATCAGTCACTTTCGATGTTCCACATATATAAAAAGAAGCTGGTAACAAATCCTGCAAAAGGATCGTCAGCTGACACCACCCACCCCCTACATGTGTCATAACAATGGCTGGACCAGGTCCTCCACAGAAACCCACACAAAAGAATAACCCTCTCATGAACACTTCCATCCAGGTCTCCACAACTCTCCATTGTTCGTGTTACGAGGTCAGGAAGGAATGTTTAGCCCTTTTCATGTGCTAAGTAGCCCTTAAAAAAAAAGAAGACCTTTGGCATGAAAGTTACATTTTACCTCTTTGCAACCAGGTGCTCATTTAACCAGGCGGTTAGTAATAAATAAATCTTCTAATCAGTCAGTCTTCTAAGAGTCAGATGGTTAAAACAAAGCAATGCACTCTGTCGGACAAGAGCTAGATTAACCACTGGTTCTTAAACTCCTCTGGTTTAACAAGAGCCTTACTCTTATCAATTTCCCTCATCCTCTCTTTTAGTGAAATCCCAAAAGTTTAAGGTTTAAAGGGTAGCAGGCCCTAATACACCAGATGATGGTGTTGCTCAAGTACAAGTGAGTTCAATGTTGTGAAGTGGGATAGACAGACCCAATGGCACTTGCAGAAACAGTCAATGCTGCCTTTGGACATGTTGGGATTTTCGTCTGGAAGGCTGATCCATGTATTCACGACTCCATTTAGAACCCTGCCAGTTTCCTCACCTCGTTGTTTCTCTACTCACCCTTCAGAAATGTGTTTCAACCTATTCTGTACTGCATTGTCTTGTGTGTTTTTAATCATTTCACACACCACCAGGTTAACAGGTGAGCCTTTAAAATTATTGTTTTTAAAGATTCCTAAGGTTACGTATGTAGCTATTTCAAATAATAGCCACATTCCACTAACATGTTTTTCTAAATACATTTATTTTGATTGGATCCAATACCAAGGTAACTTGGAAGAGGCAGAAAGGGAGTGGTAAAGAAAGAGCCCAGTTTGAGCTAGGCCCTCAATATCTTTGTCGTCACTGCGCACAGTGTTACTGATACTTTAGAAATAATAAACATTAAAATATTATATATATATATATATATATATATATATATATATAAGCCGATTATAACAAAAATACAAAAACAAATGAAAATTTAAAAAGAGACAGGGCTTGAGATGGGGGGGTGCTTTGTAATCTGCGTGCCCTTAGGTATTCAAGTAAAAATATTTCCATTTTTCCGGAGCTACCTATTTGACAAGCTGACACGTGGTGACATAAAGGCCTATTGTCAGTCGGTATGCATGAATCTTCGGTCCTCGCTCAGGTGTGCGTCTGGCAGCCCCTCAATCCAGTCTGCCTGCAGATGGTGAGAGGTGAGAAAAGAAAGCCAAAGTAGCTGATGATGGACATGAAGGCAAGGGAACTCCAACCATTCCCTTCTTAGAGCCAGCGGGGATTTGCGGCTCGTCTGTAGGTCAATTGCTGCAGAATATACATAGCTATTCCTTCTTGCCCCGCACAGACCAGAATCAAGGACGTCAAATTTCTGTTGTGGACTACACCTTCTATGATTCTCAGCCAGCAATGTACAATATCTGGGGATCTACTGAAATTATTATATTATGTGACAAAGCTTAATACTGGAAGTCCAATGATACTATCCAGGCCAACACGTTACTTGACCAATCAAGCCTCCTCGGTCACCTTTTGAAATGGGTAGAGCAGCTGCTGAGCAGTAAATATCCTGTAATGTGATCTGTGATTTAAAAGTTAAAGGGATTCTATAGTGCCAGGAAAACAAAGCAAAAATACAAAAGAATGCATATATAGTGAACATTAGCGCGTATAGAGAGTGTGTCCACTACAATTAAGCAGCAGCTACACTACTCCAATAAGCCACAAAGAATATAAGAGAAAGTTAAAAAAAGAGGAAGCGAAGGGTGAAGAAAGCAAAGATAGAAACAGGGAATAACTGATAGCACAACACCCAACTGAATCTAGAACACAGGGAGGTAGTAAGAGAGGAAATGAATCAGTTGTTTTGGTCTGTAGCCTGGGTTACTAGACTCAGTGACCGAAAAAGTTTGGAATTTAGGAAATGATCCCAGGAAAATCATAAAAAAGTATATTTTGGTCCTGAACCCTCATTATGCGCAACTCGTTCCTCGACAGAGTGTATTTAATGAACTCTGCACATACTTGGTGGTGGTGGGAGGGTGGGGGGGTTGTATCTTGCCATTGTATTGATATCAGTGAATTACTTGTCAATATGAAATGCATTATCACATAATATTCGTACCTGGATAAGGAAATGGAAGGGAGCTAAAGTAATGTCAACTCAGAAGTCAGACATTCTGTATTGTTACACAATCTTCTGGCCTACTATCCAAAATACAGACAGAACCTGTGACAAAACCACCAGTTAGGAGTATATGTATCGCAACCCTGTCTAGTACCACCAACACCCATAGGATACTTCAAGAAAAACATTATGGAGGACAGGAGGTATTTGTAGGATCTAAGTATAGAGACTTGGAGAACAGGCATACAAAGTGTATCTCAAAAAGTTCTTTCCATCAACCTTTCACGCCTATTATCATTTAATATACAAACTCCAGTAACAAAATCTAAGCACCAGTCTCCAGTTTAACCAGACAGCTTTCTCGATCTTTAATATGCAACGTCAAAGGAGCCACACTATCTAGTTTGATATGAAGTAAGAAATTCAGGCTAAAAGACGGTCCCTTTTCCAGGTGACTGAGCAGCCCTGTGTGTAAGTGAATTCATGAAGTGACAATGAGATATCCAACAAAGCATCGGGGGGTAAGAGGTGACAAATATCCCCAAGGCTCAGCATGTGAAATGTCGCCCTAATGTTGCGGGGGAGATAGGGAGGACAGGAACCTTTTGTTTACATTACAGTTCACCAGCTCACCTGCCCTGTCTAACGCTGTCAATTTCATGGCCACCGACTGTGAAATCATACGGCTGAATCACAAAATCCCAGAGAAACTGAACTTTAGCCAAGATCTCAGCATATGCCTAGCTCTCTGGATTTCTTAAGATTCCAAATGAGAAAGGGACAATCATAAAAAAACTATAGTAATTATAATAATAAAAAAAAAAACCTACAACATTTGTTTGTTAATTAGATATGTTTCTTTTTGCCTGTAGATAAATGGCCTTTCACTTATAAAAAAAAAAAAATTAAAAAGCTAAGTTATCTTTTATATTTCAGCACCTAGACAGACTCCACTTCTGAGCCCAATCCACATTGTGTTAAGTCATTAATCCTCACGACTTTTGTCCGAACAGAAGCATTGAGGGCACACTGCACACGTGCAATCATCACAATCTGCCAATGCAATGCTTCTCTGCACAAAGCAATGGATCCAATTCTTCTCATAAAGAAGCACTGGACAAGCATAGTGTTCGGCATTAGCCTACTTTGCATGTTGACTCATGATGTAAAAGAGATTCAATTACTGAATCGGTTTTCATTCTGACAGTCGCTAGTAGGCATGGAAACGGCGAAATACACTTTACTTCTGCACCAGTGGCGTACATAACAGGGTCGCAGGGGTGGTGGCTGCGACTGGGCCCAGCCCACCAGGGGGCCCGGTCGCCCCTGCGACCCGGTATGTACCCACAGGGCCAGCCTCTTTTGTGTGTTAGTGTGTGTGTGTTTGTGTGTCTGTTAGTATGTGTTTGTGTGTCTGTTAGTGTGTGTTTGTGTGTCTGTTATTGGGTGTGTGTCTGCTAGTGAGTGTGTTACTGTGTGTGTCTGTTACTGAGTGTGTGTTTGTCAGTAAAAGTGTATGTTTTGTAAGTGAGTGTGTATGTATGTCTGTCGCCGAGTGTGTCTCTGTCAGTAAATGTGTGTGTCTGTTAGCTAGTGTGTATGCGTCTGTTCGAGAGAGTGTGTGTGTGTGTGTCTTCAGCATTTACCTTTCTCCAGCGTCGGACTCCATTGGCGCTGGGGATCCCTCCGCCTCTCAGCTCCGAATGCACATGCGCGGCAAGGGGCGCGCGCGCATTTAAACCGCCCATAGGAAAGCATTACTCAATGCTTTCCTATGGACGTTCAGTGTCTTCTCACTGTGATTTTCACAGTGAGAATCGCGGAAGCTCCTCTAGCAGCTGTCAATGAGACAGCCACCAGAGGCTGGATTAACCCTCGGTGAAACATAGCCGTTTCTCTGAAACAGCTATGTTTTCAGCTACAGGGTTAAAACTAGAGGGACCTGGCACCCAGACCACTTCATTGAGCTGATGTGATCTGGGTGTCTGTAGTGGTCCTTTAAGTATGTGTGCATGTCGCGGGGTCGCAGCCCTGCAACCCCTGCGACCAGGTGCCCGCCGCCATGTGTTGCGGCCCCGACCCGCGCCGAGTAAGCGCGCGGGGGGGGGACCCACGGATCAATTTTCGCACCGGGGCCCCATGGGTCATGTGTACGCCACTGTTCTGCACGAGCAATATTTACTGCTTTCACAAGAAGAGATTACAGATTTCACACAAGTGTTAAGAACTAAAAACCTTTATAATGAGATAAAAAAAAACCTGTGTGAAATAATCAACAAATAACTTAAAGAGAAACATACATATAAAATGAATTCTGAGAGAAACCCGAGAAGGTTTTGCGGTCACCGATATAGCCATGTTCTGTATTCAAGATTGGACAGCCCATTGGGCAAATGCCTAGTGGGCAACAGGGTGAGCATGAGGGGGTGAGTCCTTTTACGTTCTCTGCAGTCAGATTACATGAGAGTTCTCTTATGCGTATATACCTGTATTATCCAGAGAAATCCACAGATATTATACCATGTACACAGTGTGTACGTGATGTCAAGCCATGAACGGGGGCCAGCCTGTTGCTGACACTCCATTGCTGTCTCTATTATGTATCCCTGCTCATACTGTCTATTACAGCATAATACAGTGAGATCATGGTGTTTATTTATTCAATAAGCATACTGTATACAGTATACCACCAACAAAAGTATTGCATTTAAATTTGCTTCGCTTTTACTACTTTGAATTGCATTCAATTTACAGTTGAATTTTTTTCATTGTCATTTTCCCCAATTATTTTTTTTTTTTCTATAAAGTTCGTTTTCTGCTCCATTTTCCTATTCATTAACATTGGTGTTTTTATTTAAAGAGAGAACTGAAGAGCCACATGTCAACATAACCCGCAGCTCTCTATGTAGATGACAGAGCGGTTATATCCAATGGCGCAGTAGTATGTTGGGGTATGTACAGGGCCGTTATGGCTTCTTGGTACTGTGAAATTTAGAGCTTTTCCTGATTGGCAGCAATTTGAAGGAAATGTGTTTAGCCCTGACTGGCAGAGGTAAAGGCTGTAGCTAACCTACATCATTACGGGAACTTGGTCTTGTGCATGAGGGCCACAGGTGCCTGTCAATCACCATTACATCTGCACTCTACCTGTCCTTGATTTACGGCTCGCAGGTACTAGACGTCTGCTAAAGATCACACACGAGAGATGCGAGTTCCTGGAACTCATTTTCGGCCGAGGTATGTTTGGCTTGCTCTACTCCAGTTTGGTGGCTCCCTGCCAGAAAATCTTGAGCTGTTTAGAGCCAGTCTGCTTGGGGGGGTGGGGGGAATATGTCGGGATGTATTAACCCATTGTCTGCCACTGGTACAAAGTCCATTAGGGGATGGTCAGCGTCTCTATTATTGGTGTATTGAAGGCTCTGGGAACCTCTTAACTCTTTCATTACCACTGCCCAGCCCATTAAGAGGTGAAAAAAATGTATATAATCAAATTTATTTATTTATTTTGAACTGATGTCTGCATCACTGGTACTTAAATAATTGCTCCATAATGTTAAGGGAGCATTGACACCAATTTGTTATATTATTGCAGTGTACCCCAGAGACAATGATAGCAGCTCCTTTTAAGATACAGTGTGACAATGTTTACCAATGATTTACACTCAACATACACTTCAACATATTGAAATAAATGTTCCAGTACTCTCCCGAACTATTAGAATAAATGTTCTAGTTCTCTCCTAAACTAGAGGAATACATGTTCCAGTACTATCCTAAACTAGAGGAATACATGTTCCAGTACTATCCTGGGCTAGAGGAATACATGTTCCAGTACTATCCTAAACTAGAGGAATACATGTTCCAGTACTGTCCTGAGCTAGAGGAATACATGTTCCAGTACTATCCTAAACTAGAGGAATACATGTTCCAGTACTGTCCTGAGCTAGAGGAATACATGTTCCAGTACTATCCTGAGCTAGAGGAATACATGTTCCAGTACTATCCTGAGCTAGAGGAATACATGTTCCAGTACTATCCTAAACTAGAGGAATACATGTTCCAGTACTGTCCTGAGCTAGAGGAATACATGTTCCAGTACTATCCTGAGCTAGAGGAATACATGTTCCAGTACTATCCTGAGCTAGAGGAATACATGTTCCAGTACTATCCTGAGCTAGAGGAATACATGTTCCAGTACTATCCTGAGCTAGAGGAATACATGTTCCAGTACTCTCCTGAGCTAGAGGAATACATGTTCCAGTACTATCCTGAGCTAGAGGAATACATGTTCCAGTACTATCCTGAGCTAGAGAAATACATGTTCCAGTACTATCCTGAGCTAGAGGAATACATGTTCCAGTACTCTCCTGAGCTAGAGGAATACATGTTCCAGTACTATCCTGAGCTAGAGGAATACATGTTCCAGTACTATCCTGAGCTAGAGGAATACATGTTCCAATACTCTCCTGAACTAGAAGAAAAAAGGTTCCAATGCTCTCCTGAAATAAAGGAATCAATGATCCAGGACTCTAATGAACTAGGGGTATAAGTGTTCCAGTACTCTCTTCTACTGATGGAATAAAGGTTAACGAAGTCCCCAGAACTAGGGGAATGTACATCACTGGTTTTCTTACACATTTTCCCCCAAAAATGACGCACCCCCGAAAATAAGCCCTAGTCGCTAGTTTGCTAATCTATGTTCGGTGAATTTTCCCTGAACATAGATTCGCGGGATTCCATGCCCTTGTGAACTGGTCTATGTTCGGGGGAATTCCCCCAAACGTAGACCTGCTTTCTTGCACATGCTTGCTACCTTCTTCCCCGAAAATTAAGACATCCCCCAAAAATAAGCCCTAGTACGTTTTTCAGGGCAAAAATTCATATAAGACCCGGTCTTATTTTCGGGAGAAAACGGTAAAAAACACTACTCTCCTATATTGGGAAAAACATTCCGGTACTCTCCTAAATTAATTAACGTTTTCTATATTCTTCAATACGAAGGAAATAAAAGCTTCCATACTCTTATGGTAGGGAAATAAAGGTTCCTGGTCTCTCCTATACTGGGGGAATCGTTAAAGGAACACTAAAGCATTAGGAATACAAACCTGTATTCCTAATGCTTTAGTGTACCTGTCCCTTTTTAAAACAAGTGTAGCCCCCTCCACCATTTCAACATAAAATAATGTTGTTGCTTTTTAAAATTACCTTATTTTAGAGCTGTGGCTCCTTTGGCGCTGCTTACCTATTCTCCTCCTCCTGTGATGTCACAGAAGAGGCATAGCCTCCTCCATAGTTGGTCCAATCCAATGCACCTCATAGAGGAGTATTGTGGACTGGATGCACATGTTCATCGTCATTGAATCAATGCTTTCCTGTGTGGGATTACACGTCATATGACTGAATTCTACTATGCCACTGCTATACTGTAAACTTTGAAGTTTCTTTAAAAAAAAAAAAACCAATGCAGCACCAATGAACCCAGACCACGTGAGATAAAGTGGTCTTAGTGACTTTACTGGACCTTTAAAGGTTCCAGTCCTCTCCTGTATTAGGGGATTGCAGGTATTATTCCGTATAGAGGTTCTGGTACTCTCCTTACTAGAGGGAACGAAGGTTCAGCTACAGGATACATGTTCACCTATTATTTTATACTAGGGAAATATTGTCTATTGTGATTTTAGCAGAGGTGCAACCAGTGAGAAGTTCCCGAGGGAAAAACAGATTGTTGTTGGGAAACATTCTACAACACTTATCACTATATCCTACATAATACGATGGCTTGGAGTAGTGATTGCTTCCAGCACTGTTCTAAGCCAGTTATTCTCAATGATGCAGACACTATTAAATAGTAACTGCTTTTCCTACCAATTTTCTACGTATTTCGTTGAAGGATCCCCTTTGGTTCTCAGAACAGGAGACTATCCCTGGTCTTACAAAGAAGACCAGGTTATCCACTAAAGGGAGAGCTCAAGGTGAATTTCAAATTTAAAGGACCACTATAGGCACCCAGACCACTTCAGCTCAATTAAGTGGTCTGGGTGCCAGGTCCATCTAGGGTTAGCCCTGCAGCTGCAAACTTAGCAGTTTCAGAGAAGGATTAATCCAGGGGTTAATCCAGCCTCTAGTAGCTGTCTAATTGACAGCCGCTAGAGGCGCTTGTCACTGTGATTTTCACAGTGAGAAGATGCTTGCGCCCATAGGAAAGCATTGAAAAATGCTTTCCTATGGACAGATTGAATGCGCGCGCGGCTCTTGCCGCGCATGCGCATTCGTCGGAAGA